GTACTGAAACTGTAGTGCTGCTTGAGAAAGATGAAAATTCACTCATATTCTAAGTTGTACTAATGGAGCAAAGTCCCCTCAACTATAAAACCTTGCCTTCTTGTTGTTGCCATGGAAATTTATGGTAGAGATCTAAGAACACCTGAGTGTAAGAGTTAAAAAAACTCCAGGAATCTTGGAACTAATTTGAAAAGATATAATGAAAGAAGCTGATACAAAACACATTAAGGTGGGTGGAAATTTATAATACTGATGGACAAGAGATGAACAAACAAACAAAAAACCAAATTATTGAGGATATAGTAATATAAAAGCATGACTTATCACCTGAAAGACCAACACAAATGTTTTTTGAGAGAACTTGACTAAGTTGCAAAGACCCTCCCCCATGAAATCACAGAAACAGATTCTTACCTCCTCTGAACCATCCTTCGGCTTCATGGGGTTAGCGTTGAGCAGCCCTACGACCGTACCCTGCTCAGTCTTCCAGAGTTCTTTGTGAACGTCTCCAAACAAGAACAACGACACATACCGTGTCAGGTCATGAAGATCGTTCAGTCGCCAGATGCTGAATGTTTTTCCCTAGAACAAATATTCACTCTTAATTTTAAAAATTTTTGTACAATGGGTTGTACTGTCTCCATTTATGGTTCAAGTATTATGTTGTGGGAAAATATATAAGTATCCACATTTAGATATTTTTTAAAAAACAAAATAATTCCAATAATATTGAACCAAGCTATTTCGCAGAAGCATCCCAGGATGGTTACAAGTTATGGCGAGCTATATAATATAATCCATCTTGAATATATAATCATCAGAATGTCTGTTAATCATAAATTAATCCTCTCTCTAGGCTTTAGTATTACCCTTCTCACTTTAGAGGCGATGAAAGGCAAGCCAGTAGCAAAGTTGTTACTGGAGTCTCTAATTCTCATGTCTAAATAGTCAACGGCATAGCATTGCCTTTCTAATCTGACACATACATGCACACACACACATGCACATACACAATCCTAAAAGGTCAAGAGGAAATTGTGACACTACCACTTAATAACTTACTAGCATATATTTAGTAAATATTTTATCACTGATTAATACATTATTAATATTAACAAGGTTTCAGCTCTATACTTCTAAATCTTTACTTAGCTTAGAAAAAAACAAAAGCATCATTAAAAAAACTGGTAGTATTTAACTGTAAAATTTCAGAAGTATTATTAAATATCTGAAGAAATGCAACTCAAAAGTGCTGACCACTTATAATATGAAAAACTTTCACATTTAGATATTTTTTAAAAAACAAAATAACTACAATAATTTTGAATCAAGCTATTTCACAGAAGCACCCCAGAGTGGGTATGGTTACAGGTTATGGTGAGCTATTGCCTGAACTCAAGTATTATAATTATTCTTTCATGGATTTGTACAATGCCTTTCTTGGAAGAGCTCAGATAAAATTTCGTAGCTATTATTTTAATGTCATTATAGCCAGTTGTGATGCAATTAAAAACTTAAATAAAAACCACTTGTTCACATTTACCTAGACAAAACAGGGCTAGAGCAGGACTCATAATCTAAAACTCAACTCCTGGAGTTAGCGCTCATAAAAAAAAATCCAGGGTTGGTCAAGATCTAAATTAGAGCATCAAATCAGTATTGAGCGTGATTAATCCTAAAATTTTAGAGCTGAGAGAGACGTTCCACATAATCAAAAGCTAGTCCTTTCATTTTGCAGATAAAGAAATAAGGTCCTTAAAGAAAGATTAAGAGCCACCCTAAGGCCACGCAGCTAGTTAAAGGGAAAATGAGACTTAGAACCCAGGTTTTCTGACTTGCCAGGACACAAAATAATTTTCCTGTTATGCCTCAGTAAACTGCGATTTTAAAACTTGTTAGATCCTTTGCAACAGCCATCAAGTTAAATATACCATACTGTGCTGGCACAGGTCAGCCTTTCCAGAACTTCCACAACTGCCGTCTCATACCTAGTAAAGCTCTCAAAGAGTCTGTGAGCTCAGCCTCTTTGATCATCTGCTCCCTTCTTCCACACAGGGGATTACGGTATCACAGAGGTAGCCACATGTCACCAAAAACAATGACAAGAGACATACAGTACCCAGATTGTCTTTAAACAAGGCATTCTTTACACTTAGCTCCCTTGGATACCAGCCAGTGATGATGTGGCAATTTGAGAACTTAATAGCAATTAGCTCAAAATAAAATAGTGATAGGCTTTGGGTTAACAAATCAGGAACATGAGTCCACATTGCCAGTCTGTGATGAAACAGCTAAGAAATCAATAAAATGGCTTACACTGTTACAGCTCTGTGGGGTGACTTTCTTCACTATAACCCCAAATGTCACCCAGTCTATTTCTTCGATCTTCTCACTTGTTATCTTTTCCTTGAGCTGAGACAATCTGATCAGTTTTCGGCCAGTCATTTTCTTGTTCATTTCTGTGGAGGACACTCGAGGTCGTCTGTGTCAAGAAACCAGCAATTAGAGATTATTCTAATAAGAGATTATCTGGCACTGTAGCAGGTTGATTAGAAGAGGTATTATGGGTAGAAATCGCTAACGTAAGATTTAAATTTCATCAGTTCTGAAAGAATTTCACAGATTCTACTATTTCTAATTAGATTTAAAAAAAAGATTTTCATATAATAAAGGCTTTGAATCTAGCTTCAATTAATATATTCTTGTTTCTAATGACTGGTCAAAACCTGGTGAATTTGCAAATTGTTTTTCTTTAGTAGAATGTTAATATCTGTTCCATGTTTGATCATATTCAAAGATAAGACAAAACAAACATGTCTTTTGACTCTTTCAGAAGTCTTCTGGAATAGGAAGCCCTAGAGCTAACTTTGAACAATGAAGAATATTTAGGAGAAATCCTTTACTTTGCCTGATTTCTGTGAGTTAATAGGTTACTATCCTTCAGAGTAATTTTATGGTCTGAGATTCAGGTATAACAATTAAAGAGACTCAAAAAATTCTGGCATCTCCTAAATTTGTAGGCCACTCAGTAGCTTTGGCTCAGCAGTTTCAGCTTGGTCTACCTCCATTCAATTCATACATGTATATTACTTGCATCTTAAATATCTTTTATTATCCACAGGGAGTTTCACCTAGGAACTGGTTGGGGAAGGCAGTGAAATCTCAGGAAGGACGTGTTTTATCTTGGGAAAAAACCCTGAAGCCCCTCAATGAGCTTTTACTATATTCCATCTCTCAGACTCTGTCTAAAATGTAATAAAGATATTGAATTTTTTTTTTTTTACATTTTGGAGAGTACTGAGTCTTAACACACTTCTACTGTATCACTGTATCCACAGTACCATACTGTAGTGTGGCAGCTACTTATTCTCGCCCTGCTTAATAATATACAGTTCAAAAGCTTGGCAGTTTTAGTTTAGATTGACGAGGGTTAGGGGTTTTAGAGGGGGTACACTTGGCTACTCAGACTGTACTAAAAGCAACCCAGTCTCAGAGTGAAGATTATTGCTCTGCCCTGGGCTTTGAGAGAGGTGCAACGTAGTGGTACAGAGCACAGAGAATTGAAAAGTCCAGTCTTTTCATCAAACTGATTCTGAGATTTATTCTTATTTTAATTGAATATCTTAATTTTTCCATGTAATAGATGCAAAGAACATTAATTTGCCTTAAAAGTTATTAGGAAGAAAAAGAGCATAGCTATTTTGCTTAACATCAATTACAAGATACTATTATCCTGGTTAAACTGCATATAAACTTTCTGTATTTAAAAATAATCTGTTTGTCAATTTCTAATTAAATATACTACCTGTCCATTTCCTTTTATGTATATCTTTACATACAAAAACAAGAAAAAGTCTTCCTTTATCATTTTACATGCAAATGTACTGAGTCACACCCAATGCTTACCGTCAACTTTTGTCAAGTTCCAAGAGCTGCTGGTGTTATGTGGATCTGCTGTACGAACACCTACTTCTAAAAGGCTCAGCCCTTGGGAAGGGGTAAGAGGCCTCTGGGCATGTGAGCAGACTGTGGGGGCTGCCACAGTTACTGACCTGAGCCTCAGGCCGGAGAAGGCTTCCACGGAGATCGGCTGAGCTGTTTCCCCAGAACTCCCAGGGGCCCGTGCACCCTGATCTCTAGTCACCCCAGTAGACTTGTTCCCAGGAGTCGTTCGGAGTGGTTGCAATGGCGCACCTGTCATCCTTGAAGGTGAGCTTTTAGGGTCTAGAAAATGAACATAAAACTTAAGTGCAAAGGAAACCACACTGATAACTACAACTTTTTAATGGAACTGTTGCTTTTTTAATCAACACATGCAATAACCAACTCTTGAGAGAACGAAGGAAGCCCACAAGAGCATTTCCATGCTACCCTCAGAATCTCTGCAGTGTAGTCCAGAAGAACTTTCTGCAATGATATAAATGTATTATACTGGTGCTGTTCAATGTAGTGGCTACCAGCCACATGTGGCCATCGATCACTCAAAATTGTGTTTCTAAGAAAAAGAATGTCAATTTAATTTAACCTAATTTAAATTTTAATGACCCCACACGGCCTGCGGCTGCTGTACCAGGCAGTGCCGCTCTGAGACATGTATGGAGCATTCACCGTGTGCAGGGCACTGAAGGACCAAGAGCTCTGCTTCAGGAGTCAATACTCTGTGGATATCTGTGCACAGGTCACATTCCACCTGAAGAAAATCCAAGATCTGTGCACGAATCACATTTCACCTGAAGAAAATCCAAAGTTCGCTCCCCTTTCGTTTCTGTTTCATTTCATTTCGATCTGTTCCATTTTCTTTGTGGGGTGGGGAGAGTTAGGGAGACCAGGCTAGTCTACTGACATGGTTACTTCTCATAATTTAGAAGCGTCTGATAATGCTCCAGGAGGTCAGAGAGCCTGGGTATTTTCCTTAGTAAAATATTACCTTATCTTAAACCAGATTTTTGTTTGGCCTCAGAGAGGCTTTGGGTCACCGCTCCCAAGCTAGGGGCCAGGGCAACCCGGGGCCTTAAGAATCTCTAGAGGCCATGCCCAGGCGCCACTCCCTCAAAGCCGAACTCTGGAAGCTGCTTAATAAAACACCTTAGTAATGCCAAAGTCCTAAGGGAATGGGCACTATTCACAAGTAGATACGTAACATATAAATTGTTGTCAAATAAATACAAACACTCAGAGGCTGCAACTATTGTGCCACACGGCAATGCTATTCAAAAGGGCCTTTTTGAACACATGTAGTCAATAAAATGTATTCTAAGCTACATTATCTCCAGACCAGTCTGTCTTCCATCTTTCAAAGAATAATCATTTCGGCCAAAATAAGGCAGTATAACAAAATCGATACATAGAGCTTATAAATCTGTTCCATTTTATTTTGTGTCTATAATACGTGTGTATTGAAATAGGCTTTTATTTGACCATTCTGGACTTGGCAAAAAAGCCTTTCCTAAAGAATTGATCCTCTCGTTTAATACAACCTGGTTTTAAACAAAACGTGACCACTTTATGAGGGAATCTGTACCTCAGTCTCACAAGCATGAAGATTCAATTTCTAGGTTGCTAGCATGAGAAATCAATCCAGTGGTTATACTTACTACAGTTCAAGTCAACTGCAGGACTACTGGGTTAAAAAAAATGTAAACCCATTAAGTATTTATTTAGTAAATACCTACTCTCTGCCTAAGGATTTTCTAGCCACTTTTGAGAAAAAGTACAGCATATGGTTCTCATTCCCAAGAAACTTATTCTCTCAATGGGTAGATTCATTCATTCATTCTCATTCTCTCTCTCTCTCTCTGACACACACACGCACGCACACACACACACACAGACAGAGCAGAGCCAGGGCAGTGAGAAACCAGGAGCTTCCAGTACCATACCTGCAGGTGAAATCTTTGGCATCCGAGCCACCCGTTTGGTTTTTGGTAGAGCGGGGATGTCAAGCTCTGCAGAAAAGCATGTCGACTCCTGAAATCTCTGAACTTTCTTCTCCTTAAGAGGTGGTCGTGGAGACTTATCTAGTTGACCAAAAATAAAAGAAATTAGTAAAGAAAATTTAGAAAGGGGCTCAACAGCTGTTTTACCAGGTACTGGATGCAAAAGTAATTTTACAATTTCTTAATAACAGAAACACATAGTATTCCTAGAAATGCAGTCTGATTACCAGCTGATTTCTGTGGATGGACTGGACTTGCAGGCTGTTTAATTGTTGCCATTTTTAGCTGTTCTTGTAAGGACTTCATTTGCTCTTGCAACTTCTTTAATTCATCTAAGGAAAAAAAATTGCCTTAAGAACCAGACCAGAGGAAATATTATACATGATGAAAAGTGCTGGACTTATTTTTGGTGCTCACCCGTCCCCCCAAAACCTTGAGACCCACAATATAATCACATACTGAGAACTCAGGATTCACTTTTGTACTTCAAAGGGGTCTCCTTAGAGAAATACACATTATCTTTCTAGTAATCAAGCCTCTAATACCAAAGCTAGTTATGAATTTATATTATAACAAATGCCTGTTCCTGAATTAGAAGAACATGCCAACCACTGAATCTTATTATAATTTACACAAACACACACGAAGATGCCAGGAATAAAAAAAAAAGGGCACTCTTCAAGGCTTCTGTTCAGGAACAATCTCCTGTACAAACAGAATGCAAAGTAGCTTTATAGTCTTGTCTCTGGCTCAACATGTATATAAAGCCCAAAGTAATATTTTCCTGGAATAAGCATGAAAAGTGTTGAGAGTCTTTCTGTGAAGGGTCAATTATAGCGGGCTGTCACGGATATAAGGGACCTTTGTATGCTAGAATGCTTGCCTTAAAAAAATGTATGATCTACTGAGACAATTTTTTTCACAATATCACATATCTCGACTCTTGACATAGCAGCTATCCTGATGAAAACTGTCAGCCTGGTGGTCTTCATCTAGTCTAGCATAACGAAATGAGAGAAAGCAAGTAGTGAAGGTACCTTGCAACTCCTCATTAGTTTTCTCTTCACTGCAAGCCGGAGCAGGGAGGACTTTGCTTTTCGTTGACTGCAATGTAGGAACTTCTTCCTCATCTGTTAAGTCCCCCATATCTCCAAAGAGAGTGGCTAAATTTTCCTTTTGGTCTTCAGTCTTTTCTATTTCTTCATCGACAGCCTCCTCTGTGTACGATTCACCGTCACCATCAGCATCAAAAAGCTCATCAAATGAGTCAGAATGACCATCATCCTGGGTTGAGGGGTGGCTCTCTTCTGGAGGACAATCCAAGGCTGACTCATTCTCCTCCAGTAGTGCCGTCAGCAGAGACAGTTCATCTTCCTCCACTGGGGGAAAAAGAAGAAAAAGGAGAGCAAGTAAGCCTACCTGAGAAAATGTCACTGCTAATGACAAGCGTAGTTAAGACATTCAACACTAATAAGGCAATTAAAATGACTGAAGATTCACCACTTTGCCTGGTATAATTATTGGTCTTATCTCTACCCTCCCCCTTCCCAAAGGAATTAGGTTAAGAAAGAAGGGGCCAACATCGACTCAGTGACCACACTGGGGCAGGCACTGGACTAGATCTTTTTCCCTTCTGCCAATGAGACAACTTCCTCCAACTTCCAAGAAATTCAACCCACAAGAGAATAATCAAAAAACACACTAAACACACATTTAAGTCCTATAGGCATATATTCCATTTTTTAACAGTTTGAGCAATATTTTAAAAATATAGGAAGATACAAAGAATTACATTAAAAGCATTCATATCCCATTACCCAGAATGAGCCATTACTAACATTTTGTTAAGTTTTGGGCCTTTACATGAAATAATTTTTAAAAAACATTTCAAACTTTTTAAAAAAAACGTACCATGCTAAAAATCTTATCCCAACTCTTTACCACTGCCTCAAAGCCCCACTGCAAACACTAACATAATTTGGGTATATCATTCTAGTCCATTTTTCATACATTTAACAAAAACATATAGATATTCATAATCAATACAAAGTATTTAGTTGTTCAAAAAACATTTACATAAATTATTTCATAACGTATGTATTACTCTGTACCCTGGTTTCATTCGACGTCGCATGTAAGATAGATCCAAATCAAAACATACACTTCAGTTTATTTCTTTCAATTGCTGTACAGTAAGGAGTCCATGATAAGACTGTATCATATTTTACTAATCCACCTTCCAATAAAGGACATACGGGCAATTTCCAATTTTTTCACATTACAAACTATGCTGCAATCATGTATATACCTTCTTGCACATGTGTAAGAGTTTCTTAGGAATACATATCGAAAACCAAATACTTGGATTGTCAGGTATGCACAATTTTCCAACTTCACTAGATATTGCCAAATTGTTCTCAAAGTGGTCGTACTCTTACAGGCATTGTATGGAAGTACATTTTCTCCCTGCCACCTCACCAGTACCTGATAGGTAACCCGATTTTGTGCCAATCTGATGGATGATTTAAAAAGGCAGCTCATGGTTTTGAATTGCAATTCCAGGATTACTGGTGAGGTAAAGAACAGCTTGTGTTTATTAGCTAGTTGGATTTCTTCTGTCTTATTCATTTACCTTGCTCATTTTCCTCCTATTTTGGCATTATTCCTTTATGAAATCAGAGGCCTTTAAAGAAAAAATGTTACAGATATTTGATCTACTTTCCTCACTGGAAAGACAGGGGCTGAAGTCCTGACAGGGTGGCGGCCTGTTCAGGATTGTGTGGTAAAACAGGTCAGCGCGGGAGCCTTGGTTAGAATGGAACTCTCTAGATCAGGAAACCAGCCAACATCCTTCCCACTGCTCTACACTCCCTTACCAGACAGAAAAGAGCCAAACTCAAGGCCCAGAATCTGATGAAAGGGTCTCAAGCTTAAAGTCAGAGGTTGCCAATGATTAGTTTGCTTAGTCCACAAAGACTCCAAGACTGTAGGGTGCAGCAAGAAAGAAGAGGCCATCAGGCTCCCTCTCTCTCTGTCGCGCTCGCTCTCCCTCTCTCTGTCTCTTTCCCCCTCTCCCTCCCTTTCTCTCTCTCTCTCTGTCTAACAACTCCTTACTCTTCTGCTTCTCTCTCATGCCCTCATGTTCCTTGACAAAATCTTTTTTATAGTGGCATGTGTTGTTATTAAATAAAAAATAATAATAATATACACAGAGTGATACAGGAATTATCCCTCAGGTCTAATTCAGTTTTAAAGGTCTATAATAAACTAATAAAGTGCTGACTGCAGTGGTCATCCACGTTTAAGGTATCTTATCCTACTCCAAGAATACGTTATCTTTTCCATATTTATCTTACGGCCAATTTTTTCATTTGTAATTCACTGTATTTTCTATGTACTTCGGTCTTTATATAATTTCCATAATTCTATGAATGCTGAACTTGGGAAAATCTTAACCCTGATTAAATCCAATAGACTACCACTTCCTTCCATGCCTGCAACCCAACTGGTGAACTTTCCTGGAAAGACTACCATACTGACTGGTTTAACTTTAAATATATACCAGCCAAGAACAGACAGACATTCAACAATGCTTTAAAATCCCCATACTTCCCTCATAAATTTGCCTAGCTTTTCTCTCACCACTTTGCACAGTCTCTCCTCAAATCCCTGATGCCTCCCCTTCCTCTTTACTCTTAGCTGATGATCTTGCCTCACATTTTACAGAAAAAAAGAAAACAAAAGAAAAAAGGAAGCAATTAGATTTCATCATCTTTCACTAGCAAATCTGAACATACAGTCTCTGCTTTCCCTCCTGTGACAATGGATGAAGTGTCTGGTCCTATTTATGGTCAATTTCCCCATTTATGAACTGGATCCCACTCCTCTCAGCTCCTCGAGGACTTCAGCCTACAATCACCAGCGTGCACACTCCTGCTTCTTCTCTCTCTCTCCTACGTCACCGATTTTTCCATTTTCTGGAGCATTTCTCTTGGCATACAAACTCATTCCAGTATTTCCCATCTTACCAACTACCGGATATTTCCCTACTTATTTGTTGTTATTATTTTGTTCTCTTTACTAGAATGTAAGCAAATGTTCTTCAACAGTGTATCTCTAGAACCAGGAAATGTTTTGATTTCATCTACACTGGATGAAATTGTGAAACCATGTCAACCAAATGAAATTTTATTAGATACAATGATTTCTTAGAGAACATATACTCATTCACCACTTATTTTCATTGACCATCCCATAGCAAAAAGTTATACTTTGTATTACAAAAAGTATCCTGTAGGTAAGTTATGATTATAGGGAACAGGAAAACAATCATTATACCAAAAGTGTAATCAATTTCACATATTATCACAGTGTGATGAATTTCAACATTTAGTCCTTTTTTTTTAAGGCAAGTATAATAAACGTGGATTCTTAAAAAATACATTTTCAGACATGAGCTCAATTACACAAGAAAAATAATGCATTTTATTTGTTATTGTCTCTTTATAGCCAGCACAATCAGTTTTGTGCGGCTTCCTGGCTAAGCTCAGCTAATTCGAGCAACATCTCTTTACTAAATAAATATTTTGCACACATCCCTGCAAAATGAACAAAACCAGAAAGGACTACAAGAATTTAAGTCAAATCTAGACTAAAACTACTTCAATAGGTTTCAGCATCAAATGTGAACTCTGAAGTCAGGCTGGTTGGGTTCAAATCCCTGCTCTGACAGTTTCACTTGTGAAGTTACTAAACATTGGTCTTTTGTCTATAAAATCGGTTGCTGTAGGATTAAGTTAGTTAATATAATTAAGGTTCTTAGAGTAGTGCTCGACACATTGTACACAGGCCAACCATCATTATTATGAAAGACGATCACTGTTGCCAGGAGGAGAAATCCCACCTGATTAAAACAAGTAGCATCCAGTGACTGAAGTGAACCAGTCAGACGATATTTGAGGGTAGGGTAGCTATTTTCACTATTTTGCAAGCAGAATAAGTAACAAGCCCACACACAAAATGGTGCTTTTCCAAAAACAAAGAAAAACTGAGAAAACTTCCAAGACTTACCATCCATGTTGTCTTGGGAACAGTAGTGAGAAAGAACTTCAAAGGAGGATCAGGTGCCCAGGAGACAGCAGTAATGCAGTAAGTATCTTGGCTGTGTAAAATCATCATTAGAAAAGTCACCTTTGATTCTCTCACTCTTGTATTGCATATCTAACAAATCCAGAATCCACAAATCCTAGGGGCTCTAACTGTAGAATTCATCCGGAATCTGCCCACCCCCACCCCCAATACCATCTTCCTCCTGGTATGCGAGCAGTCCCCTTTTTCTTGTCTTCAAACTATGGTTATAGAAACTTGGGTGAGGTACAGAGGAGTCTATATACTAGATTACATGGATAAGACAAATGGTGAAGAGTATTACTGCCTTAACTACTGGGGAATCTGCTGGACTATAAGCTCTTTGAGGGTTAAGCAGGAAGAAATCATCTTGTTCATTTCTACAACCAACCACCCTTCCCACCCAAGCAAACCCATGCATCTTATCCTCACATCCAGGGCCAACCAACAAGTGCTATGGGTTCTGTCTGCACAACATTGCTCACATCTTCCACTTCTCACCAACTTTACCACCAAAAGCCTAGTCCGAGCCATCAATCTTTTGCTCTGACTACTGCATTAGTTTCTTGTATTGGTCTCTTTGACTGTCTGTAATCTATTCTCCACACAAGTGCAATCTTTTCTTTCCTCAGTAATCTTTTAGGAGCATGGTATTCCTTTAATAAAAATTCTTTAATGATTTTCCATTGCCCTTAAAACAACACTTACAAAGCCTATGAGGCAATGGATCATCTCTTGCCTCCTCCTACTTCCTCATTTTTTCCGAGGGACCACTCCACCTATCTCTACTCTCCCTCCAAACATGTTCCACCAAGACACCTGCGTTCAACTTCTTGAATACACTGAGTGCTCTCAGGCCTCAGGCTCTTTGGAAAGTTGTCCCCTAGCTTTTTCTCACCTTTTAGCCTCCGCTTAACTCTCAGTTTTTCTGAGCCTTTCTATCTGGCGAGGCCCCAGAGACACCCTCTCATTTCTCTCCCTTTTCAGGACTTTACTGAATATTCCACTATCATATATTTAACTGTTACTTGTTTGGATTATAAGCTTCATAGGGCATAAGCATGTGTTTGGGGCCCCGTACGTGGCACGTATTCAATAATTATTAGTAAATCATAACTTTTAAAAAAACAAATGAAAGAATAAAAGAAGACCAAAGTCATGCATTTCACAAGCGTTTTAAAAGGTTACTTTCACAAAGAAGAAACTGAGTAATCGGCACCTCACGATGAATTTCAGCAGCGCCCCACAACTCCTCAGCGTTCAGACCTCCCGCTACCGCCGGGGGCTCGCCCGAAGCCGCTCGGCTTCCGACTCACCTACCCGAGCGTCCGCCGGCTCCGCGCTTGTCGCTCTCAGAGCTCTCTAACCTCTCTCGTAGACGGGCGCGGCAGCCTCTCTCCCCCGCCGCCCAAGGGTCACCCACACGCCCAGGCCTCGCTTCTTACCCGGCTCCGCTCCCCTTCACTTTCTACAGTCAGACGCGCCAAAATTCCAACTGGACTCCACCCCCAACTCTGACGTCAGACGCACGCCGGCTTGGGGCCGCGCTGATTGGCTACGTCAGAGCTCTAGCGGAAAAGACCTGGGGAGAGGGCGCGATACCATCCTTGCGTAGAGCATTCTGATTGGTTCACGGTGACCTGGCGCCCTGCTTGGTAGGGCAAGGGAATTTCCGGTTCGTGAAGCCTTGGGCTTCCGTAGGTAAAAAGTAGTGTTCTGGTGCCCTCCAGCACCGGGAAATGTAAGTATTTCTGTATGGTATTTTTACCTGAGGTCAGTCAGAACTCTGTTCCTAACACGCTCTGGGACTATGTCTTCTAATCTCAAGACTCATTTTCTCTTCATTGCCTCAGGTGTTAACAGGTTTTAGACAAAGACTTGGTCCGTACTCTAGGGATTTACAGTCTAATTTGGGAGATGTGAGATATGCCTGATACTAAGGTGAGCGCCAGTCTTGCTGGAGTGCAGGTAACAGAAGATGTTATGGCGCGAACGATTCTAAGACCCACTGAGCCAATTGAGATTAATTATGAGCCTTTATTAGCCAGCCAGCGACTGACTCTCTGCCACACAGGGTTAGAGGAGATCAGCCCCGAGCTTCCAGAGGAGGCAGCTTATAAAACCTCCAACTACATCCTTGAATAAGCAGATTACAAGAAGCAGAAGTTAGCTGTTAATGTTTTGTACAAAGATAAATGTATCTGGGGAACTCTCAGATTTAACAGGGCCTAGGAGAGTTTTATCATCTGCACCTTGGAATGTTGCACTTCTCCTGGGGCTGGTGCCTGGAGATATCACCCTGTAACTGAGTTATTGCTCTCCCGAGGGGCTGTCGCCTGGAGATACCAACTCCCTGAAACTGGAGAATTTCTACTTTTACAAGGAGACAAAGTAGAAACATTAAAATAAGTGGGTAAAATGAACTGTGTGTGCAATAGTCCCAGACTAGAAGAACTGAAGAAAAGGGACAAACAGGAAATATATTATGAAGGGAAACCTATTTGCTTTGGTAACCGATAAAGAAAAGTTACCTTTGGCAGGAAAAGGAGAGGACAATGGCTATGTTGGCAATATCTGGGAGGCTGGCAGAATTATAGAAATGGATTAGAAGTCTAAAAGGAGGAGCTTGTGTTGGACAGGAGAGAGATGATGAGTTCAGGCTGAAAGGATGCTGTGGAGATTTCAACAGATATCTTTAGAATAGTGATTGAAGATGGGGACGTATCAGGGTTTCAAGTGTAGGTTTACTGGATGTAGTTGAGTTCTCCAAAGTGAAGATTGTAGAAGTAGAATAAGTACATTTACTTATTCTTCTACCCTTAGGCCTAGCAGGAAGCAATGCTATTCTAAATCAGAAAACCAGATCTACTGAGACAAAAAGCTGATTTCCACTGCTTCCTCCCCCTTCCCCCCACACACATACCATGGACATCTGTTTACATCTGTCTTCACACCTTCTATGCTCAATGGTGCAAAACTCTAAAGTCCTATACCAAACTTTAATTTTTCCAACTACTGGACAAAGACCCTGTGCTAAACAAAATGTTATCTTTGCTCAGAGGCAACCCTCTACTTTAAGATGAGTGGCCCTTCTGAGAAAGATGAAAACCCAAGCTTCTTGATTTTCGTAACAGTATTGTCTTTACTGCCCAAATAAATGTCTATTTCTTTTCAACCAATCTAGAGTTTACTTTAAACAGTAGAGTATGTTCTTCCATCTAGTTACTTCAACTGATGTTTTCCAAAGGGAAGCCAGTAAAAAAATGCTAGCCTTGGTGGTTTCAATTAACTCATTAGATTGTTCAACACATTCCTTCTTGGTTTTGCTAGGTTAATAACTACAATACATATTTTATATATGTGAAATAACTACCCATGATCATGGCTCCATTTATTTAAAAGACAAGATTGTTACATAAATCTGTCAGCTAACTCAGAGTTCCTGAATCAATTTTTTTTTGTATTTCACATCTGTGCAATTACTTAACTAGAAAAAAAGAACACTTAAATTACTCAGCAATGACAAAATTTCATAGTAAGAGTACATATATCATTTCAATAAATTAATAACAAACTACGTAAGTCGAAGAATGCCAAAGAAGATTGCTAAATTATCTCTACTTTTTATTTGCCTTTCGTAGCAAAGCAGTTTGGGTACCTTTTGTTCTACTAAAATATTTGAATATTGGTTTATATACTTGATTCCTGTTAAACTTAAATGCTACAACTGTTTATATCAGCTTTCCTCCACTGAATTAATGATAGCATAATAAACTTGATATTTCATTAAAGACAATTCCAAGTTAGCCCTTTAATTATGGGTCAAATAGAAGTGTTAGCCAATCTTCACAAGAATCTTTATGATACATACAGTGCGTTTTATGTGTATTCGTATTAAATAATCTTATACTTCAAAGTTATTTTTCTCATTTTTTAGAAAATAATAGACTTTATTTTTTAGAGCAGTTACAGGATTACAGAAAAATCGAGTGGAAAAAAGAGTTCCACATACAATTTCCCCTATAATTAACATCTTGCATTATTAGTATGGGACATTTGTTACAATTGATGAGCCAATATTGATACATTATTAACTAACGTCCATAGTAACATTAAGGTTCACTCTTTACAATTATACATTCAATGGGTTCTGACAAATGTATCCACCATAACAGTATCATGCAGAATAGTTTCACTGCCCTAAAAATCCTCTGTGCTCTAACCTATTCATCCCTCCTTCCCCTCCCAACTCTTGGCAACCACTAATCCTTTTGTTGTCTCCATAGTTTTGTCTTTACCAGAATGTCATCTATTTGGAATCACAGTGTGTAGCCTTTTCAGATTGGCTTCTTTCACTTAGCAATATGCATTTAAGGTACCTCCATGTCTTTTTGTGGTTTGATAGCCCATTTATTTTTAGCACTGAATAATATTCCATTGTCTGGATGTACCACAGTCTGTTTATTCATTTACCTATTGAGGGGCATCTTTGTTGCTTCCAAGTTTTAGCAATTATGAATAAAGCTATTATAAACATTCATGTGCAGGTTTTGTGTGGACATAAGTTTTCAGTTCATTTGGGTAAATGCCAAGGATTGCATGCTTGGTTTTTCAAGAAACTGCCTGTCTTCCAAAGACTATTTTGCATTTCCACCAACAATAAATGAGAGTTGTTGTTCCACATCCTCACCAGCATTTGGTGTTATTGTTTTGCATTTTAGCTGTTTAATAAGTGTGTTGTGGTATCTCACTTTAATACAATTCCCTGATGAAATATGATGTTGAGCATCTTTTCCAATGCTTATTTGCCATCTGTATATTTTCTTTGGTGAGGTACCTATTTTGCCCATTTTTAAATTGAGTTTCCTTACTGTTGAGTTTTGAGAGTTCTTTGTATATTTGGATACTAATTCTTCATTAGATATCTGTTTTGTAAAGATTTATTCCCAGTCTGTGGCTTGAATTACTTTTTGTGAAAGGTGTAAGATCTGTGTCCAGTTATGCCAGCACCATTTGTTAAAAATACTATCATTTCTCCATTGAATACCTTCTTCTCCTTTATCAAAAACCAGTTGACTATCTGGGTCTATTTCTGGGCTCTCTATTATGTTCCATTGATATATTTGTCTATTCTTTCACCAATACCATGCTGTCTTGATTAGTGTAGCTTTATGGTAATTCTTGAAGTTGGTTAGTGTCCTCCAATTTGGTTCTCCTGCAATATTGTAGGTCATTGTGGGTCTTTTGCCTGTCTATATAAATTTTAGAATCAGTCTGTTACCCACAAAATGACTCATTGGAATTTCGACTGGGATTGCATTGAATCTATAGATTGGGTTGGGAAAAACTGGCATCTTGACAATATTGAGTCTCCTTATCCATAAATGTGGAATCTCTCTCCATTTATTTAGTTGAATTTTTTCATCAGATCTTGTACATATTTTATTAGATTTATACCTAAGTATTTCATTTTTTAGTGCTAATGTAAATATGTTTTTTATTTTCAAATTTTAATTGTTTATTGCTGGTGATATTAGTAAATTTATATCTTCTATTTTCTCAGTAAACCTGACTAGAAGTTTATCAATTTTATTGTTTCAAAGAACCAATTTTTGATTTTCTCTATTGGTTTCCTGGTTTTAATTTAATTGATTTCTGCTCTAATTTGTATTATTTATTTCTTCTGTTTATTTTTGTTTAATTTACCATCCTTTTCCTAGTTTCTTAAAGTGGAAGTTTAGATTATTGATTTTAGATCTTTCTTTTCTGTATATGCATTCAATGCTATAGAGTTCTTGCTAAGCACTGCTTTTGCTACATCCCCCAAATTTTGATGGTATATTTTCATTTTATTTGTTTAAAATATTTTTAAATATCTCTTGAGACTTCTTCTTTAACCCATGACTTTAATAGACATTCTCCCTGGGGTAAAGTGGGGGAATCTTTTAATCTAAATTATGGTTAAATTTGTACAGTGTGTCCTCTTAGCATGAAGATATAATTAAATATTTTGATTCCATGTTTGATTCCATGTGTATGTGTGTATTAAACCAAGTTTGTCTAGGAGAGATTCTTATGACAAAGCCAAACAGAGGGGATACTTTAATTTTCTTCTAAATGTTTTAGGATCTAGATGCATCTTTTACAGATGGCCCAGTATAAGCTAATTTCGGTAAACTGTAGGTTTACAAAATATGGCACATCCTTATCTTCTCACCGCCTTAGCAAGAACAGTTTCTAACTCTGACAAAGAGATCTGCTCATAGTCATAGAATTAACAAAACAGATCTGAATCAAGTAATAAGCTTATACAGGTTATATGAAGCTTATATGTAGCTAATTCCAGAAAATGCAATGTGAAAGATTCATAAGCAAAATTTTATTTTGCAATAACTGTTTTTGTGATTATGAATATATTGCCTGATCCAGGAAGAAAATGAAGAAACAATTGTACTTTTTAGAAATTAATAAACTCTTTACTGTACAAGCCCATATACCTACAGCATAATGAAAGAACAAAGATAACTTCTTTGTACTCTGAATAGTTATCTCAAATCCAGCAAGTCTAAGGTATCTACTTCATGCCAGTATTTTTTCCTTTGTTCTGATGATCAAGTAAAAGCTCACAACGCTCACATGAAAAGAGCCATATCATAACTTTGGTGCAATCACTGTGGCTGCAGTAACACTATACCACACACATATACACACAACCACACATAGATATTTTTTAAGTAGAAGATGGAAAAAACAGTATAATTCATTTCAAAAATACTTCGAAGACGTTTTTCTTGAAATCTGTGACCACTTCATTTCTCCTGCCTTCTTATAAGGTTCTTAAAATTTATCAGTGAGACTTCTTCCATCTAATTACATTTACTCTCTGATGATGTCGCATACTTATTAGCAGCATGAACAGTTCAGTGCTCACATAAACTGAACATTAAATAAGAAAGGAACCTACTAAAAGAGCGGTATGTTAAAGATTCTATTTTGTGCGAGTTTATGGAAATCCATAAAAAATGTCCTAGGTGGAGCATGTCGAGTTTCTTTCTCCTGAAACAAACATAATGAGCCAAAATATTTGAGTGAAAACAAATAACACAAAAGTACAACTCTTGGAGGAAAAAAACTCTGACATTTACCGACAGTTTGGGGAGGTGAAACGTCAACACTTAAATGATGCAGTCCATGACGTGAATCTGTAATGTATCTATGTCGGGCAGGAGTTTTCCACATTTGGGGCAAGAGTGAATTGGCATATTCTGTTGTTGCTGTTGCCGCCAGTTCCTATCCTCAGCTCCTGGGAGTAAACATTAAATTAAATGTTATTCTATTCCTTCCATGTTGCAAATAGTTTTGTTTGATTAAATTTAATAATAGATAGCTAATTTTAACATCAGTTAAACTTTGTAATCAATACCTAGTGGGAAGTGAATCCAGGATATCTTTGTCTTTAACTGAGGTAACCTACACCCATGCAGAATGTCTCCAAAAACAGTACTGCTGCCCTGTTATTTTAGGATTCAGGCTCTATTCCAGGTTCTAGGTATGTAAAAATACATGGTTTCACTTATAGATATAGGGCAATACATGTTCTAGTAAAAACTAGAATATTTGAGAGAAGATAAGAGGTAGATGAGGCTATAAGCTAAAGAGAAGGAGAGTATGTGGAGAAAATGATGACCAGAGCATGGAGAGGTGATATCCTAGAACAGCATGCACCTCCTCAGAAGCACAGACAATAATTACGTTCATTCAGCAGATACTTTTGAGCACCCTGTGAGAGGGAAGAGAGGGATACAGACACGATGGGGGTGTCAGACAAGAAAAATGACAGCACAGTGCATGAGGGAAGTGCCATGGCTGTCATGCACAAAGTTGGTTTAGTGACAGGACAGAGAAAGGCACCTGGCTCAGACTGCTCTGTGCAGACAGGCCCCCTGGATGAGACTGATGCCACTTGAGAGGAGGCTTAAGAATGAATAAGGGTTATCCAGGCAATGCAAGTGAGGAGAAGAAACTGAAGAATGAGTCCTGTCATTTCCCCCAGTTTTGGAGCTGGACTGTGGTTCAAGTCTAAATCCAAGAATGCTTGAAGTAAATAAGCCTTGACTCTAGGTGGGTCCCACATGTGCAAATTGTGATCAATGCTGGAATGACTTCTGGCTCTTGGGCATCTCCTTGATCTGACACTTCTGGACAAATGCAAACCATTTTGGAATTTTAGAGTTTCCACATAAGTTGCCAGACTTTCATTCAGCCCCCAAAATGTTTTTTTTTGGAGGATGACAGTGGAGGTAACTGTCATGGTTTGTTGCTTCTGAGCATGTTATTTGATTGAACAACATGTGAGACTATTACAGATAGTTTGTGTTCAGCAAACTTTATAAGTACCCTTAAACAGAAATATGGATCACAAGTCATGATTTCTGAATCAGGGAGCTTTCTAATGGTTTCACTGTTCTAGCTCAGGAGTTGGTATACTTTTTCTGTGAAGAACCAGAGAAAAACTGTTTTAGGCTTTACAAGTCATATAATTTGTCACAGCTACTCAACCATGCCATTGTAGCATGACGGTAGCCAAACTTTAGCAGTATTATTTCTCTTACTTCAGTATAATCTTATGTTATGAATTCATCTTTTTATGTACACATCCTGTCTCTCCAACTGGACCATAAGCCCTCATGGGGGAGACCAAGCCCATTTGTTCCCTTGTGCTCAGCCAAGTGTCCTAGACCAGAGTGGACACTTAGATGGCTGCTGACAACATCATTTATGAAATATATTGGCGGGGGTGGGGGTGGGGTTCTTGTTTAAGGCAGCTTTTTTAGGAAACCCAAAAAAATCTTAAGACGGTCTCTGGAATATTGTTTTTTATAAGACAAAAAGATTCTTAGGATAATTATGAATAAATTAGCACTTTGTGATGATTTTTAAATTATAAAGTCAAAGAGTATTTGACCAGTTCTTTTCCTTTTTAATGTAAATAAGCACTTGCCTTATATAGTTATGAAGGACAATCTTCCCCTAAGAAATCCAGGTGCATGAGATTGCTCTTTTTGACCTAAGACAATTGTGTAGGTACTTCTAGATATGAGGTATACTGGTGTTCCTAGGATATTTAAAATCAGATTAGAGAAAACGCATGGCAGTGCTCAAGTGAGTAAACGCAGCTTTCAGAAAAGAACGTGGCTTTATCCACTGATGCTAAAAATGCCTGAGGCTAATATTTATGTCAGCCCAAATGCTGCTACCTCTGCCTATGCCATATGATTACTATGTTTTCTCGTACCCTGAATTACTACTTCTAATGTCTACTTTAGCCTATTTTTTCCTGTAAGAGAACTTTGGTGGGGGCACAGAGGGAGATGGAGGTAAAAGGAATACTTAGAGAAACTTCCACAAGATTTAATAGTTAACTATACATACCAATACTACTTTCTTGCTGCTGCTAACATTGTGAAGTAGTTCCATTTCAGTGATCAGTTGGTATGTGGAAGGGACTTAGACTGGTCCAGCATTAAAAAAAAAACATTAAAGAACCAGTTTTATGTGAAATTTAGAATGGCTTCCTAAACGCAGAATCTTCTTACTGGCATTGCTATTAACTTTCCTTCTTGCCATGCCAGTCTTTGATCCTTTGACCTTCCGCGCCCCCCATATTTACAGTCAAGGATAACACTTCCCTTTTAGTACTGTTAAGACAGTGATTTATTATAAATTGCAGAACACTGTTACTAGTGTATTAAAACCATGTAATAAACACAGCACGATACTTTTAAGAAGTGTCATGATCAATTTCACTCAGTAAATTACAATCTGGGTGTAGTACATATTTAAATGACAATCTATTCCATGTAGTACCATGTAGTGGTTAAGGGTCAGCTTGGGTTCCATATCCAGTTCTGCCCCCAACCAGCTTGTGATCCTGAGTCATTTAACCTTGTCTTCTGAAAGACTGTGATAATATATACCTGATGAAATTCCGTGAGGATCACGTGAAATAATGTGTGAAAAGTGATCAGCCCAATGGTCATGCATAGTCAACTCTCAATAAATGGTAACATTTATTATGTACATAACACCAGGTAGTAGGTGAAGATATCAGCTGTGAAGGAGCTTATTTAAAAGACTTAAATGCATATTTATAACACATAAATAATTATAATATAAATAGCAGCTAAGTACCAAAATGGGAATAAAGTACTTCGGAAATTTAGGAGGAAGAGGTCACACTCCTGGTTTCATAGAGATGCTATTTGAAATGGGTTTTAAATACAGGGTGAGAGTTCACTGGAGAGACTGGAGGAAGACAAGGATATGAGTGAGGGAAGGGCATTCACGTGAGGGTCACCGCATAAACAAGTATATGTAGGTATATGAGCTTAAGGCAAGTTCAAGGAGCAGGGAATGATTCAGTTGGCTAATTTCTGTAGAGGACCAGAATGAGAGAAGGATTAAAAGTTTGGCTATGGCAGGCCTTAACTGCCAGTGTGATGAGTCTGGTTTGGATTCAGTAGGTAATAGAGATCGGGGCACTGTGGAAATAAGACTGATAATGGTGTTATATTTTTGGTAGCTTGGTTTGGAATCCATTATATAGGATGTAGTGGAATTTTTTTTCAAGCATCTTCTTCGTAGGATAGTTATTCCTCGGAGTCCTGAAAACCTAGAAACATGCATGACTTACCTCTTTCAACGAGGTAAGCCTGCTGGTCAGGGTCACTGATTCTCGCCCCATGACGGCTCTGCATTTCCATCAAGGACTGCCTACTGGGATTAAAAGCAACACTATGTGATATTCTAAAATTATGAAATATGACAACATTAGGCAGACATTCAACAGAAGTAAGAGAAAAAAAGAGCTAAACTGCAATGCCAAGGTGCGGATCATTCACAAATGGCAGGAAGTCCCTTAAAATGTTTTTAAGTTAAATACATAACTTAAAAACGGAAACCAGAACTTAAGACTTGAGTTGTAAATATTATTAGCACTAGGACATGATGTAGTAAAAGTAAATAATAATTAAGGTTAAAAAAATCAGTTAGGAAATAACCAAACTGTCGATGGATAGATGGATTAGGAAAAAAGTGGCATATTTCTAACAAGACATTACAGAGCAAATAAACAGAATGAATTAAATCTGCATATATATACACGCAGAGTTCAAAAGCACAATGTTATGTAAAGCAAATTGCAGAACAATACTTATAATGATCATTTTGTAACTTAAGTACAGAGAAATTAATATTATCTTGATTTAAGATATTGCAGAGATGTGTAAAAGTATACGACAGATGGGGATGCTACCCACCAAATTCCAGGCAGTATGGGGAAAGGAGGAGAGGAATAAAATGAGGGATGGGGAACAAAAAAGACTTCAACTTCATCTACAACTTCTTTTTGTCTTTTAATAAAAATATACTTGAAACAAATAAATGTCAGTAATTGACAATTCTGGATAGGGTACATATTGGTACATATTCTCTGTATTTTTCTATTCCTATTTCTCTGTATTTCAAGTTTTTTTCAAAATGAAAATTTAAAAAGTAATTTTAGCAGTATTTTCTTTTAAGACGTATTACAGAATTATTTAAAGTGTGAGGACTATTTCATCCATGACAATGGCAGGATATGACTTTGAAATTCATAATGTCATGTTTTTACAGCTTATATAAGAACAAAGAACTTGATCATGTTCCCACAAGACACTGCCAAGCCTTGTAAGTCAAACTAAATGTTAGGAACACAATCAAATGAAGTGGATTCTGAGCGAGTCTTACAGCTCAAGTTAGGAACCATCTTTGACAGGTCACCTGTCCTGGAGCCCTTGCTGAAATGGGCTCTAAGTCTTCACCTTACCTGTCTCCATCTTCAAAAGCATTATTGTCTTTCAGCAAAATTGCCAGCTGCAATGCCAGTTGCTCCTTTTCTTCATGAATCTTTTCTCTTGCTGCTCTTTCAGCATGAAAATCTGAACAGTAAACCTCCATCTGTTAGAGGAAGAGACAGAAGTTACTAACTGATGTGGATTCTCTACAGCTCACCTGCTGATGAGGTGAATGGGCAGTGCTGCAGCCTGTGATATGCCTTGTAAATGACAGGTACATGTTCCTGCTAGAACCAGTGTTGCAACCATGACTTTCTAACCTCTTTCAAGTAGAAGACACGAGTTGTGTGTGCGTGCGTGCATGTGCACGCGCTTTTTAAACAATTAGAACCCAGCAATTACTGATATAGGTGGTTTAAATACTGTATGTACCATCAATTCAATAAAATTCTCTGGTCTCTTTTTAAAAAATAATATTCAGGATTAGCTTAATATAGTAAATGGTTTATTTACTCTGTTGGGTATATTTATGAAGGCTGGCCTTAAGCTAAATTAAAATAATAATAAGTAGATGCTGTTTATTGAATTCTAAACATTTGTGATGTTTAGAATGTTATCTTATTTCACTTTATCAAGAATCTGAGAATGTAGAATTGCTATGCTCAGTTTACATTTATAAGTTTAATAGCTCTTAATCTTGAAGAAATTAGTTAAGTGGTCAAACCAGCATTTGAACCCAGACTGAAGCCCATATACCATGGACTCTTCCTTATACCATGTCACTTCCCACAGTGGTAGCCAGCCTCCAAGATGGCCCCCCTGATCCTCACATCTTAGTATTCATAACCTCATGTCCCCTCCCAGAATGAATAGGGCTAACGTGTGTAACCACTAGGATACTGCAGAATGATGCTGTGTGGCTTCTCAGCCTAGGTCATAAAATACACTATAGCTTCTGCCTTGTTCTCTCCTGGATTACTTGCTCTGGGGGAAGCTAGCTGCCATGTCATGAGGATGCTGAAGCAGCCATATGGAGGGAGAGGCCCAAATGGTGACTGAGGCCTCCCGCCCACAGCCTTGTGGGTGAACCATCTGGGAAATTGGCCTTGTAGCCCATCTGGAGTGCAGCCTCCTGAGAGACTCTGAGCCAGAATCACCCTGCTAAGCTGCTCTTGGATTCCTGATCCATGAGAAATGTGTGAAATAACAAGTGCTTGTTATTTTAGCTGCTAAATTTGGAGCAGAATTTGTTACCTAGAAAGAGATAAATATCTTCTATTATAAAATTATAAAGTAAAAATGAACTACTTAAGAGTAAATTATTCTAATACCAATTTTTAACTTTCTATATTTAAAATTAGGTTTTTCTTTTCAAATTTAGTGATTCTAGGATATAAATTTTTATCCGCTATTTTTTAAAGCAAAATTAATAAAATTTTAATATTCTATCACAATTGTATGTGATGAAGAAGTCATTTTAAGGGACTTCCTGCCATTTGTGAATGATCCAACATTTTATGGTTTCATTGATGGATCATGGGCTTTTTTGAGTCAGACCTAAATTCAAGTTAGAATCTCACTTCTACCACTTATTAGCTTTGAGCCAGTACGAACTAGGTCTTTCTTTTGTTCATTCCTATTCCCCAGCAGTGAGAACAGTGTCTAACATATTATAGGGGCTCAAAGAAGAGTTGTTGAATGAATGAAAAAGAGTATCCATGGAAACAAATGTCTTTGTAGAGAATGTGGTGGACGTACATGACTGCAGTATCATTAGATATCCAAAGGAAATGCTGTAAAGAGCTCAGGCTGAGATTCTGTTCCTGTAGAAATACAATTAAAGCCCTCAGCTCAGTCAACCACTTCCAGGTTTCATTGGGTCAGCCACTTTTGGCAGCTGGTAATGAGTATGTGTATAGGGAACAATAAACCACTGACATTGTTTTTTTTAAAAATAATCTGTTTATCGGATTGAGAAACATTTAAAAGATTGGTGCAAGGATGTGGAGAAACAGGAACTCTCATCTGCTTTTGGTGAGAGAATAATTTTGGTTGTGCATTTTTGGAAGATAACTTGGTAATATGTATTTAACTTAAAAACAGGCAAACCCGGTGACCCAACTGTTCCGTAAGTACACGAAGATACATATACAAGGGTGTTCAGTTCAACATTGTTGGTAGCAAAATTATCGTTACAGCCTACATGTCTAGCAATAAAGGGCTGGTTAGATCTACCACGGTAATGCATACTTTGGAACATTACGCAACCATTAAAAAAATAACCTGTGGCTGCAATAATGAAATATGAGATATAGCATGAGTAAAAATGTTGTAGTACAAAAGGTATAGTGTAATCCCATTTTTAATTAAGCAAACAAATAAACAAAATGAAAACAGAAGAGACTTACTATACTATACTCTCACCAATATGGAATTGGGAAGAGGTGGATTTCCACTTTCTACTTTATACATTTTGTATAGTTTAAAAATTCTATTTCATAATGAATAGTATTATTTGTATAATTCAAAAATAAAAATATTTTAGTTCCTAATCATACTAAACCCACCTCTGAGATCTCTAATTATTTAAAAAGAAAAAGATTTTCTCCTCTTTTTGTGGTTTTACATCTCAGGCAGGATGTATTCTCACTCATAAACTCTCCTCCAAGTACTCCACACACTAGTCAACTGTATACAAGTTCTCCCAGAGAAAAATAAAAGAAGAAATGTGCCTTAACTTGTTTTTATGAGGCCAGCATAACCCTGATATCAAAACTTGACAAGGACATTAGCAAAAGGAAAATTCTAGGTCAGTCTTACTCAAGAATATAGATAAAAATATGAGCAAACCAAATTTGGCAATATATACAGAGGATAATTCAAGAAATGCAAAGTGTTTAATATTTAAAAAATCAGTGTGATTTATGATATTAGTAAGTGAAAGAAAAAAGTAGAAAATTATCTAATTATATCATCATATGAAGAAAAAACATTTCTTAAATAAAATTCAGCATCTACTCAAAATTAAAATTTCTGGCAACAAGGATAGAAGGAAATTTTGTAAACCTATAAGTGATATCTACAAAAAGCCTGTAGCAAACGTCAGACACTTAATAGTGAAAGGTCGAAAGCACAGCCTCTGAGACTGGGAGCAAGGCAAGACTGCTTGCCATCTCCATAGTTACATAACATTGTACTGGGATCCCAGCCAGTTGCAATAAGGCAAGAAAAAGTAGAAATAACTGGAAAGCGGGGGGGGGGAAATACCCTGTCATTATTCAAATGATATGATTAATGTACAAAGTCCAAAAAAATTCAGAAGTATTATTAGAATTAAAATGTGAGTTGAGCAAATTTAGTATTTACGAACTCAATATAGGAAAACCAATTGTATTTCTGTATAACAACAACCCTCAGAAAGTGAAGTTTTTAAAAAATGCTACTTATAATAGCATCATCAAAACATAAAGTATCTAGGAATAATCTCCACATATGATATGCTTCAATAAAAAGGATTTTAAAAACATGTTGTTAGAAATAATATAAAATCAAAAACCATATTTCAAACACCATCGCTTTCCCACTTAAGAACGAACAAGGTTGGCCCTGCTCAGCCCATGTTTCAGAAGGGAGCTTGCCTGTGCCCTAAGAACTGTTATGGTCTCCAGGTCCTCTTCCTGCTTGGCGATGGTCTGCTTCATCTCATCCATCTGAAGCTGCTTGGAGGCCAGCGCCTTCTCTGCCAGTTCCAGCTTCTCATGTAGTTCGTGCAGCACTACCTTATCCACTTTTTCTGACTGAAAAAGACAAGATTATTCCAGAAATGGTTTTGAAATAACTCAACCTATTTTAGTAAGATACTAGATGGTTTATATTTTTTAATGACTGGCTCTAAATGTACTGTTAATTAGCAATGATAACTATGATAACTTACTCAAAAGATTGTATTTATTTAACTTATGGCTTGAAAATAATAATTCCCTAATTTAAGACAATATCAAAAGAACACTAACATAAAGGAAATAATAACAAACTCTGATCTCAGTGAGGTTTGTAACTTGCTAATGTTGCTATTTTTCCACTCATGTTACTCTTACTTTGTGACATCAGTACAAAAGAAACATATTTAAATTAAAAATATACCAGACCCTAGAGAGGAACAATATTCTGTAAAAGGATAAGTAAAAAACAAAAAGTATTTTTATAAGGATATCAACTCAAAGACCCCCTTCTAACACAAAGCTTCCATTATTTTTATTTATTGACTCCAGATTTATTAAGGTAAAATTGACAAAACTGTAAGATACTTAAAGTATAAAATGTGATGTTTGATATATGTATGTATCGTGAAAGGATTCTTCTCATCTGGTTAATTAACACCTCTGTCACCTCACATATTTACCCATGGTGTTAGAATTATGCCAATAATGGTGGACATTATTACTAATTTAAATTGTAGCCTGATAAGTCCAGGGTCTCAAGCTCACTGGCAGCAGGTAAGCTAGCCTTGTAATTGTTCCATGCAGCAGATGGACCCTAAGCCTCAGCCAGCAGTCTCAATATGCCCAGCTCTCTTATAAACCCACCCACCGTGAGAAATTCCAAAAGCTTATGCCCTGACATGAGTACCACCTTTGTACACAAAACACAATAGAGGCATACCTCTTTTTACTGTACTCTCTTTATTGCTCTTCACAGATACTGTGATTTTTACAAATTGAAAGCAGACCCTCCACCAGCAAAAAGATTATAATTCACTGTAGGCTAGGATGATGGCTAGCATTTTTTAGTAGTATTTTTTAATTAAGCTATGTACATTGTTTTTTTTAGGCAATGCGGTAGCACACTTAATAGGCTACAGTATAGTGTAAACATAACTTTTATGTGCACTGGGAAACCAAAAAATTCATGTGACTCACTTTATTGTGGTGCTCTGGAACTGAACCCATAATATCTTTAAGGTATGTCTGTACATACGTGGAACATTGGAAGTTATAAGCACTTAGATACAGGAAATCAGTTATAAGCTGAGAAACAACCTCTGAAACCAGACTTAGTTAAAGGATTAATACAACTACTTTATGTATAAAATGTTCTATAGTTTCTGTTCTTTACTAGACTAATTTTTTAGTCTAGTAAAACTAATTTTTTTCTATGAGTACCTCTTTCCTTTTTAGTTCTTCAACTGTTTTCAGTATATTACTGTACTCTTGAAGAAGACTGTTGTGTGTCAGCTGTAGAGTGGCTAATTTGGACCTATTTAAAAAGAAATTGAAAAACAAAATTTTAGGGGAAAAAAATCATAGAAACGTAGTCTTGCTTCCCAATCTTCTTCTGAATAATCAAGTAGCAAAAGCTCTCTACCTTTCGCGTCCCACCACTTGCAAGCATTTTCTTACTCTCATAGAAGAGATTTTTTCCAAAAAATTAAGGTTACAAATAATTTTAATATTGTTATAATAAAACTGAAAATTTGTCTCCTCAGAAAAGTCTCCTAGTACTCTTTCAAATAAATAAAAGAGAAAAAATTTCAATTTAGTCTCAAATCTGAATTCTGATCTCTGAAAAAGAGCTCTCTCTTTTAGCAAGCAGCCATTCAATCACGTGGCATACTCACTTTTCACGTTCTGTATTTGCTTGCTCCATTTTGATTTCTGATCGCATGCTTTCCACTTGTAGCTCTAACTTTTTGTTATTATAAACAAGCTCTTGCTTTTCATTCACCTCTGATGGGGTTGCAGAATTTTTCCTTTCAAGGGCCTGACATCTAAGAAAGATAAAAATTTCATGAGGATAAACAACATTCCTTCATTTCTCAGTGTGGCTTTTAAACAAATCCCAAGATTACGTAGCCAATACAAAGAATTTTAAGATTGCATTTTTCAAGGATTTAACAGTGCAAAATACAATATTTTATCCTCCTTGCTTCTTTACTAGAAGGAAGTAGTATTTCTGAACCCTTATGCCTAACATAAAAAAGATCTAAGATCACACAAGCTACTGCCCACTTGGAATAATTGTTTTAAGTAGTCATGAAAATATGGTTTTGTTATTTAGGCACAAACCAAAGTAGTCAATGGATGGAGATGCCTCTCATGTAGTGATATATGGCTTTTATATTTTTAAAAGGGTTCTGTTAAGCACAAAGAATATGACTTCTGGAAAGATTCAATGGGGGAAAAGGAAGTGCCCTAAGTCCTCTTAAAGAGCAGAAAAAGAATTTCAAAATAATAATAGCAAATAAGAACCAATGATAGTTATCAGCAAGGCATTGATGCCAAGCATGGTAAACATGATCTCACTTAACATGACATTATGACATGGGAATTATGACACGCACTTTACAAATGATAAAATCGAGGCTCACAGCTTAAATAAATAACTTGCCCGAGGTAATACCACCAATAAGCTGTAGATCCATGTTTCAACCTAGGTCTGTCTGTCCAAAATCCTGAGCTTTGGCTGCCATGCTATACCACGTTACCATAATTCTGTATGGCCTCAGAAAATGCAACTCCAAGGAAGCATACACTTGCATGTTGTGCTGGAAATACGTTTGCCAACTAAGCCAAAAGAACATCAACTTAGCTTTCCTAAATTTTGGGTAACTTTTTACATCAAGAGAAACCAGCAAATGCAAAATTCTCAACTTACGTATTAGCCTTCATAATTGACTGAAATTGAAAAATTTTTTCTAAATAAGTCTCACTCAAGTTCTCCCTCTTTACAGCCTTCTTTTATGTTTGTTCACAATGATGTCGTCAGCTCATGTAAGTCACAGGAAATCTGTCTCACCGCTTTTGATTGGCCCTCATATAGGCTAGGAGGCTTAATAAATGCCCCCCAAACAGCAGAATCAGAGTCCCAGGGCCCCAGTCCCCATGTTACTACAAGTATTTTGTGTTGATATGTTAACCTGTACATTAACCTGAACATCAGTGTTTTCTGAATTCCTATTTTAATTAGGTCTCTATTTTTCTTTTAGTAACACAGTAACAAAACTATGTTTTTATATAGTAATATATTTTGTAAAAATGTACAATTTTCAAAGGAAGATAGAATTTGTCTTTCATTCTTACTTTTCTTGAAGTCTTTTCTTCATTAGCTCAGCTTCACTGAGTTTTGTATGAGCCTCCTGAAGCTCCTTAAACAGGGTTGTCACCTGCAAGTTCAAGGCTTCCACTTCACTTCCAACCTGTCACAAAGGAAATCCCAAACATGCATATGGATTCCCATCAGAGATTAAATTAAGCTCTTTTTGAGGAAAGAATGTCCAATTAAGACTGGTGAATTGATTAAACTTTTGACAATGAATGCTCCCACATCCTGTATGAAAAGAAGTGTTTTGGACACAAGTCTGTTTCCTCAAAGAGCATTAACTGATCAATTTGGATGCACTTGTGGTAATGATTTTAATCAGAATCAAAATTAATCCTGATTATGGTTCAAGAGTCCACGGTGATGTCAAAGCACAGTCTAATTTATCCAGTTAGCAACTCAAACTCATAGTTTACTCAGCTATTTTCACTGTAGAATTTTTGTCACTGAGTTTTATGATGTCTTAGAAGTCTCTGTACTTCTCTATTATGGGCTGTCAAATTAGTTTAGTTAACTGGGTACTATTACTCACAGGTCGTCTCTTCATTTCAGTTTTAAATGTTCTCCATTCTCTAGAAAGTAGTGGTCTTAGCCCAGTACTCGGCATACAGTAGGCATTCAATATACATTTGACGAATAAATGAATTAGCTAAAGTGAGTATTTCATGTAAATGTCTTTCGCATAGGCTGCTGTGGCTCTTACAGCTTCCTGGCTTCATCTACTTTCCCTAGGTTTAAGACTGTATTTGCAGACTCCAAGACAGAAGGTGAGTTGCCAGGGTATAGTGACTATATAAACATGAGTTTTTCTCATTCAAACTATTTTATGTGAAGCAGTAGTGGGCTAGAACCAAGATCTTTTCCTTCTTAAGTTTCTGAGCCATATCCTCAGATTATCTCATTATAAAGTGGATAACATTCCTTTCTCATTTAGCATTCCTTTCTCAGGAATTCAGGAGAGGAAATCAGTCAAGAAGAGAGAGAGCAGTGATTTCCTACAATCGCCTAGGATAGGAATACATCTCACTACAATTTACAGTGAATGAAATTCAAATCAGGATAAGGAAATGTGAAAGAAAAAGAAAACATTCAACGCGAAAGTGATTTCTATATTTCTAAAGCCAGTGACACGTCACAAGACTTGACTCCAGGTTTTACACTACTCATGTCTGCTGGGGATGTGAGAGCAGTCTCAGAATCTTAGTACCCACAGTTTCTGTGCCTTTCTCCTCTTCTGTCTCTTTTTCTGTGCTCCCCTCTGTCTGCGTCTCGATCTCAGAACGATCGTTGGCTTTCTTTTCAAAATATGAAACTCTAAAAAATTAGGGGGTATAGAAAAGTTACTTTCTCTTTGGCTTCAAGAATAACAATTGCAGAAGCACTTAAAAGAACATTGTTCAAAATTTGGATAAAGGACCAGGGGTTTTCAAAATCTCTTTGTCAAATATGTGGTGACAGAAAGCTAACTATGGGCGGTAAACACACAATGATATATATATATGACATATTGTTGAATTGTACACTTGGAGCTTATAGGATTTTGTTGATCAATGTCACCCCAATAATTTAGTTAAAAAAAAGTATACTGACATAAAATTAATAAAAAAAAAACTCTTTGCATTCACTATATTAGCTTTAGTTTAGTGTTTATCCTAAAATTGGTTAGAACAGATTTAAGAGATGAATGCATTCAGAAGTAAGAGATATCTCACCCTGGACATTGAAAAACACTACCTTTTTTCATGTAAGTATAATACTCAGAAATATTTTTTTAATGTGTTTTTGGGTGTGTATACATGTGCATGCGTGTGTGTTACATGAGTGTGTGTATCCTTTATAAGAATTCAGTGAAGAAGGAAAGACTTTTTCTTTTTGGACCCATTTAAATTTACAAGTCCATAAAAATAAACAAATGTAGCAATATTCTCCCACTAAATCATAATCACATGAAAGCCATCCTTATACAAATGAAACAGAGACTTGTGGTTAAAGATGGTAGATTGTACATATGCATGGGATTTTTCTCTCATCCCAACCCTCACTAAAATGACTTTTAAAAAGCCATACACCTACAAGAACAAAGAGAAAGGGAGAGAGAATAGCAAGAAGATTTGGGAAGCATAGGTATGAGTGGGGACTGAGTTGGAAGCCCAAGAAAGCTGGATCTGAAGCTAACAGTAGAGAGAGCCAGCACTGTAGCACTCAAAAGGCTCAGGAGTCAGTGACAACAGGGACCTCTGGATATGGGGATAAAGGTGGTGCATGTTTAAGAAGGACTATAAGACCATAAAATCAAGGGTCTTTGGATTCAGAGACATTAATCAGAGTTGAGGGCTTGAGTTCCCTACTGAAAACACGGGAGCTCACACATAGAATACTGAGACCCTCAGTCTTCTTGTCCTACTCATCTCAATAACCCGGGCATCTAGAAAAACTTCTCCCAGACAAGAGCCTGGAAGAGTCTCCTCTGGCGTATGTGACCAGCAGGAGGGAAAAGATTTAAAGTTTCTGACATGAGGATCTCAGCTAGATCTCCCTACACATGCACACAGCACTTCAGTTAGCTTCTAACTCCCCCTCTTAAATCTGATCAGGCAGCCAAGATAACGAGACACTTGAGGCAAACCTTAAAATTAAACATATAAAAGTAAACCAAAAAGAAAAAAAAGCAACTCACTGAAATTAGAGTATGCTAGGGGGGAGAGGGGAGGAGGAACTTCCAAAGAACAGTCATTAATATCCTTAGAGACACAGTAAACACTATAACATAACAAAATGTAACACTATAAAAAAAACATTCAAAGAACCCCCTCTCCCTCCAAAAAAAGGAAGATGAAAGTTGATCAAATGTATCAGAAAGGAGAAGAGAGAAAGAGAGAGAGAGAGAGAGAGAGAGAGAGAGAGAGAGAGAGAGAGAGAGAGAGAGAGAGAAGGGGAACACAGTTAAGAAAATTGGAGGATGGGTCCAGGAGAGCCAATTCAAAGTAAAAACAGTGCTAGAAAGAGAGAACAGAGAAAATCAAGGGTAAGAGATTATCCCTAAATTAATTCAAGATCATTTTTCAGAACTGAGGGACACGAGTTTACAGAAAGAGCCCAAGAGTATCCAGAACAAATGGATGAAAAATAGGCTCACACCAAAGCTCATGAGAAACTTCATTCCTGAAGATTAAAAATCAGAATAGCAATGGATATCTTAGCAGTGACATCCGGGGCTAGAATACAGTGAATTAATGCTTTCAAAATTCAGAGATAAAATTATATCCAGTACAGAATTTTACATCTAGCTAAACTATCCATAAAGTGTGAAGGTAGAGACATTTTCAGGTCTACAGATCTCAGAAAATATACTCCCCAGGTAGTCTTTCTTAGTAAATTAGTGGAGATGTGGTAAGCTCTATTTGAAAAAAAAAAAAATTTAAGAGTGAGAAAGGTACTGGATTCAGGGAACAGGTGATCCAACACAGGTGAACTGAGGGAATTCCACAGGATGAGGGCAAAGGGAGATTCCAAGGTGTCTGCAATACAGCAGGACCCAGAAAGCAAGGAAGCCAGACTCTAGGGGAAAAGTCTTCACGAAGAGAATACTACCAAATAGTACTAACATGTTTGAGTATAACTGAGAGATTTCCTCATTGTAGAAGAGTATGGGTAAATTATCAAATTTTAAAAAGGTAATTATGCATAGACATAAAAAAAAGTATAAAAAAGAAAAAGTGGTCAAGGCATAGAGCACAGCTTCACTGAGAACTCTGTGTATGTGTGTGTGCGCGCACGCACACGCACATAATAATGTAAACACTGATTCTAGTGATCTAACTAAATTTCAGTGTACTGTCATCAATTTCAGGAGGGGAAGAAAGGCCAGAGGTACGTGTTTGTGATGACGATGATGGGGGTGAAAGACAGTTAAATCTCCACCTTTCATAGTCGGAGGTCAGTAGATTATATGTAAAATAGGGGGAGATTTTAAGTAGCAATTTAAGCCTGCTATATGGAAGTAAATTTCGAAAGAAACAGCTAAATATGTTGAAGTGGTTGTCTGGGCAGCAGGAGGGGGCTGTGGTCAAGGAGTTGCTATTTTTCCATAAGAAGCTGGTAGAACAACCAATTTTTTAAACTATGTGAACGCAAAACTGATTTTTAAAAATACTTAGTGATGATAAAGTAAAACAAACAATACTGGTATCTGTTACGAATTTCCAAACCTAACTGGTGCACAGGCATTGTTCCCAGCTAAGCAAGTAAGTGGGTTAAGAGCCATTTGGTTCAAGGTTGACGGAGAGCTTATCCCACCACTTGTATATCCTCAGCGTATTGACCTACATTTGCATTACAGCTTATCTTAATTTTCTAGGGCAAATTTTCCATCTTGGGCTGACTTTCCCCTGCTACCTCTCAGTTTTTCCTGGGCCACACTTCCTACATACTTTCCCTCTCTTTAATGGCTGTCAGTTAAAGTTTGTTTAGAAAATACATATTATGTAACGTTAATCTAGGCAAACAATGAAAGAATGACAAATCTACTGTTCCCTCTCCCCAAAGACCACCTAAAACTTTTCAGAATAAATTTTAGACTATTTATACCCCTATTTCTCATAACTAATGAAAACGATTGCAGACTAACTTATTTAGAAAGACATGCTAGGTCTTGGAATGTGTTTTCATCATATCCTACGTAGTGTGTAAACTAAGCCAGGTTGTTCAGGTATCAGTGATTTTATTTCTAGGTTTCAGTCCTACCTTAGCTAGGAGGAAGTCATCATCCTGATACCCACATACAGAATATCAGTCATGGCAACTAATCACTGACTTGCCAACCATTAAATACTGAGAGAAGGCTGGCTCAAAAAGCAGAGTTTTAATGCAACTGAGAAAGGGACCCTTTACAGGCTGTTCAAGGTGCGAGAGTATAACCTCTATCTCAAAGCAGGCCTGACTTCCTAGCTGCCATCTGAAGAGCCATGCCTGTGAGCCTCCAGGCAGAAAGCTTTAATTGTTTTGAAAGCAGGAACTATACATATATATCATATGAAAGATCAGGGTGTGTAATTAGCAAGTTCCTAAGCTCACACTTTAATTTTTAAAGCTAATCGTGTCATTTAAGTAAGGATGAATGACTGGCTAAACTTGACATTTAGAAAGGTGTACAGAACTCAGGAGAGGAAACATGCCTGTGAAATACAAACGTACTGGTTACTCATGAGTTTTAAAGCATAACATCTTCCTTTTAAAAATCAGCTGTAACAAGATATAAAAAGGATGCTTTTATTTATGTACATATCTGTGCATTATTACTATGATTTGGGATTTGTCAAAAAGGCAGGACAAATACTTTACTCCATTAGAATACATGTTACTAGTTTCCTAGAGGCCAACCTCTGAACTTTTCTAAGCAGTAGGATATGGGGTAAAAACCTACCCTTCTCCCTGCCCTTTTCACTTTTGAAAAGAGGTGACAAACAAGTCATTGGGTAAATGCTGATGTGTCTTTCAGATTAACCTCATTCTGAATAAATAACTTGTGTTTTTTATTTTTAAGAATGTATCTTCCTATAGTTTAAATTTTAAACTTCTTTAGTAAGAAAGTGCTTCTAATAGTTCTATAATTTTAAGATTAATGAGCAATTTATACTGTCTGAGAGAATTAATTATGTCATAGTATATTTATGATTAAATGTTGCAATCATGGGAACCCTAAAACTACTGTATAACCTCCCTTATGTCTTGTATGGTCTAGCACTTTGCAGTTCTAAAAAGAGCATTTCCACATAGAAATTCATTGACTTCACACCTCTATAAGATAAATTTTATCCGAAAGTGTATGTGTGTGTGTGTGTGTGCGCGCGCATGTGTGTGCGCGCGTGTGTGTACCACAATCTATGAGGCCAAAACCAGACAAAGATCACGAGAACAGAAAACTACAGACCAATATTGCTTATGAATAATATAGAGGTAAAAATCCTTAACAAAATAATAGAATCCAAACCAGCAACATATAAAAAGGATTATATAGCATAATCAAGTGGGATATATCCAGGAATGAAAGGTTGGTTTAAACATCTGAAAATCAATGTATTACATCATATTAATGAAGGTTTAAAAAAAAAAAATCATCTCCATAGAAACATAAAAAACATTTAACAAAATCCAGACGTTTCATGATAAAAAATGTAATAAAAGGGAGTTTATCAACCTGATAAAAGCAACTATGAAAAACTCACAGCTGATAATTTATATAGAAATGCAAGGGATCCAGAATAGCCAAAACTATCTTTTAAAAGAAGAAAATAGATGACTCACACTTCCCAATTTCAAAATGTATTACAAAACTTTAGTAATCAAGATAGTGTAGTACCCATAAACAAAACATGACATGCACATGATTGGCAAGGCAATGGCAATTCAATACGGAAATAATAGTCTCTTTAACAAATGGTGCTGGGACAATATCCATATGCAAAAGAATGAATTTGGACTCCTACCTCACACCATAAAAAAAAAAACACCTCAAAATGGACCACAGACTTAAATGTAAGTCTTAAAAGTATAATATTCTTATGAGAAACATAGGACTGAATCTTTATGATCTTGGAGTAGTCAATGGTTTCTTAGATACGACATCAAAAGCACAAGAGACAAAAGAAAAAATAGATAATTGGACTACATAAAAATAAAAAAAAATTTGTGCTACAAATGATACTATCATGGAGTGAAAAGATAATCCGCAGAATAGGAGGAAATATCTGCAAATCAAAAATCTCAAAAAGGACTTGTATCCAGAATATATAATGAACTCAAAAAGACAATATGATTTTTTTCAAATGGGCAAAGGATTTGAAAAGTTACTTCTTCAAAGAAGATATACAAATGGCCAACATGAAAAGATACTCAATATTAGTCATCTGGGAAATAAAACCACAATGAGATACTATTTCACATCTATGAGGATGGCTATAATGAAAAAGACACATATGGATACGGAGGATATGGAGACAAGGGAATCCTCATACTGTGCTAGTGGGAATGGAAAATGGTGCAGCCACTGTGGAAAACAGTTTGGTAGTTCCTCAAAATAGTAAACACAGAGTTACCATATAACCCAGCAATTCCACTCCTGGGTATACAGCCCCAAGAATTAAAAAAATACGTCCACACAAAAAATTGCATGAATGTACAGAGCAAACATTATTCATGATAGGCAAAAAGTGGGAACAGCCCAAATGTTCACCAACTGATGAAAAAACAAAATGCTGTCAAACAATGGAAGATTATTCGGTAACAAAAAGGAATGAAGAACTGGTACGTGCTACAGCATGGATGAACTGTGAAAACATTATGCTACGTAGCATAAGCCAATGACAAAATACCACGTATTGTATGATTCCATTTATATGAGATGTCTGTAACAGGTAAATCTATAGAGGCGGAAAGTAGATTACTGGAAAGGATGAGGAATGAATGCTAATGGGTACTGGGTTTCTTATTTGGGAGAAAACATTCTCAAATTACAATGTGATAATGGCTACATAACTCTGTGACTATTCTAAAACTCATTGAAAAGTACACTTTAAATGGATGAACTGTATAGTATTTTAACTACATCTCGAGAAATCTGTTTAAAAAGCAATGTATGCATATCTCAAGTTACCTATTCCATACCTTTCTCTGGCTTCCTTAAGGGCGTTCTCGAGTCTCTCCACCTTCTGGTTTCCTTCCCTCAGACAAAGCAGGAGCTGGCTCACAGTTAATTCCTCGGATTCCAAATAATTCCTGGCACCTTCTACAGATCTGCTCCTACATCAAGATGGCATAAAGGTTAAAAGGTTTTCATCAGAAAACAAAAATGTCCAAGTCTAAGGATATAACTGGAGCCAACTTACAGGAACTGCCTTCTGGAACACTCTCCAATGAATACTCACTTCCTAACCAAGCACAGCTGGCCCTCCGTGCTTTCCAGGGAAGGAGTGGGGACTAACGGCCTTACACTGCATGTGCTCACTTCCTCTGAGTGGTCACTGTGCCCACCACAGCAGACCACACGACTCACAGAAACAGCGGAGCAGAGGAAGTCCTGGTCTCTGATGCCCGGCTGCCCTAGAAAACTAGACCCAAAGAGGACCACAGTCAAGGTGCTTAAGCACACGTGCTGCCTGAGGTGACGTGCAGACCGCTGGCCTTTCTCCAATGTGACAGAAGCCATCACATTCTCAAGTTGAGAGAAGAAAGTCAAATAATTAGAGCAGAGAAATGTAGATACTGTTGGTATGTCATATATTTTTCTCAGTGTCACAATCTGATTAAATCAAGAGGCGTGCAGAGACAGACTGCTGCTATAACAGCTAAACATTCCGACGACTGTGCTGATGCTAATGGCAGCCACTCTTGCAGTAATCTACTGAAGTTCACACGTGTGAAAACAGCCAGGATTAAATCCCTGTTCCCAACTCCAAAGCTCAAACTGTAAACCTAGAAATCAATCTCTAACTCCTTAATATGCTTTCAAACAAGATAAAGAAACTGAAAAAAAAAAAAAAAGCAACCACCCTGAAAACAGCTGTCTGGCTTGGAAGAGAAAGTGGTCTGTGCATGTGGATATAAATGAGGAGGAAGTGGCTTAGAAATTTCAAACAAGGCTTTCTTCCTTCCCACCACTTCCAGCAGTCTTCTGCTATTAAAAAAAAAAAAAAAAAAGCAATATGGGGGAAAGTTGAGGAATTTCTAAAAAAAAAAAAAAAGGGAATAACTCTCATTTATTCCCCTTAGCTGTACTGCTTCATGAAAGAATATTATTTAATATTTATTTTCTACCTTATACAAGGGCTTAGCAGCATAATAGAAAAAAAATAATAACCCATTTTCATGTTTTATAAATACATTCATCAAGTTTTGGAATAAAGATACTAAAAGCCTATGAGGGAAGAGATCCTTAGAGAAACTTTCAGATAACTGTCTCTTTTAAGTAGACTAACATAAAGTAACCTGCTGACGGAGGATGCACTGACAACCCATTCTGGGGGACTGCTACATGAAAGAGTCTCAGGGGCCAGGTTCCACTGCCATCTCCTCCTCAGAGTCCCCCTGCCATTTAAGAGGTCTGCTTCCTACTATCTACATGGGACATAGCAACTGGAGATCCCACAGATAAGCTATCTGGGCACTTTCAAGAATCACCCAGTGACTCAGGGCAGTAACAATCATTGTTATAGGAGATTATACTCAGTAGTATTAGTCACCTTGGCTTGTACAGGAATGAACAGGGCAGAGAAAGTGGAAGCACCCCACTTATCAAGCGGGGCAGCCTGGTCCAGATCAAATTGCACGGGCATGCAAATTAGGAAACACGGGTCTTTTAATGGAAAACAAGTTTGTTTTCCCTTCTGATCTGATGGAGATGGAACACTTTGAGTGGTGAGGGTTAGTTAGCCCTAAAAGGCACCAAACATTGTTTTTATTCTCTGCCAGCTTTGGCTGCAACAGCGTTCAAACTGAACATTTTTGAAAGGTCCTGGTATAACTTAATAAGAAGTGATTTTTCCGGCCCATCACTGGAAGTGACAAGACTGTCCAGGCTGCCTGTCCAACAGCCCCAGCCTTTCCTCACTTACGTGTCCCTGGAATCAGTTCTTGTGGGCCCAGGACTTGTCTTGATTTCTTTCACTGCCACATCTGCCTCTCCTTCCTGTAAAAGCAGAAATGAAAGGGATTTAACATAATAATGTCTGCAAGACAAATTCTCTATCAAAAGAGAAAAAGGCAAAAGATCAAGAATTCTGATGACCTGCAACCCAAGGAATATACCAGACATTTAAATGTGAGATGTTTAAATTTGGTCACTCACATGGAATAGAAATGTCCCCTTCTCTCGCCCACGTGCCACGTCAGGATTATAAATGTCTAGACGAAGGTCAGCCTCCTCTCATTCAGCATAGTCAGCCTAACCCCATAACATGAAAACTTATCTCCTTCTCTCTCTCTTTGGCAGTTCTCCTCTTCCCTAGGTTAAGTTCACGTAGAGCTAGTGACAACTCCACATACCTTCCCTGTACAGTCCTTTAAAATGCAAAATGCTAGAACTCAAGTTGCTGAAGCAAAGTTGAAAAAGAGGCACAAAGTTGTCTCCTATTAGAAATGCTATGCATCTCGGGCCATTTACGAAACAAGAGTATTAAGACCACTTAAATGATTTGAAGGACGTTTCCGTTCAATGAGCTACTGGGAAAATCTTCCAAAAATGCACAGAGATGGTTCTGGATAATTTTTATTGTGATACCCTTCCTAAATCTTGGGCAGTATTTTCCAGTTCACAGAAGCAAGGCAAGAAAAACAAGTTTACACTAAAAATAACTGCCACTCATCAGTGAGGGAACATATTATGCCAACCGCATACCCTGATGTGAAAACTTCTGCTGTGCTCTTTGGGCTTCCTGAATTTTATCAGTTATTTGCAGAAGGTTAACACTCTGACTGAATTTGTGTTTCATAATCCAGTCATTTGCAGAAAGGGTATTCTGGCAAAGTGTGCTTTTCAAATGGTATTTTAATTCTCTTGATTTTGGCCACTATTAAATAGGCATCTAAAATTTATTAGAGGGCATGAAGGGCAAGGTTATTAACAGCCATTTTCTATCTCTAACTTCAGTGCAGCAAATGAATTAGAAAGTAAAAGTCATGTTCTAATATTTCAGACACATCCAGTAGTTAAGCTTTTTGCAAGTTGCTCCCTTATCTATAAGGTACATTTTTCTCTTCAGAGACGCAATTAATCTCTTGTCCTTTACATGCACTTTGACAAAGCTAAAACGATAGTGTGTATGACAGAGGATTTTACTCTCATGCGGTTTTCTCACTTCTGCAGCGAAGGAGAGGGCCCTCCCTGATTCATCCACTTCTTTAGTAGGACTGCCACACACCCAGACACAGCCGTGACAGATGCTTCTTATGGGTCAGGACCTGCCACCTCGCTCAGCTCACTTCATTTTGGTGGCACATAAACGCGAGTTTGATAACACCAGCTTCAAACTCTGTTCCCAGAGGTCCCCAAGCAGCTGCTGTTAGAGAAGCCGAGACATCCCTCCACCCATGACCAGGCACCTCTGCTCCTACCTTTCTCCACTTCTTCTAATAAACCACAGTTCCTTAGAAGACCTTGTTTGAAAAGATGATTCTATTATTAAAAAGTTTTAAGGCCATTGGTTTACTGATCATGATTCAGCGATTGTGTTCACCTGAGTGAAATGCTGAACACGGCTTTGAGACCTGGTCTGAAAAAGTTAATGCTTTATTTATTTGTTTTTTTTAGGTCAGTCACAGTTAAATGTCTGATTTGTCAAGACACATTGGAAAAAAGAAGGACCATCTCTTGTCGTAAAAGGTAAATCGATATTTTTCCATTTCGAGCATTATGTGATAGATAACTTACAAGCATTATGTTATACTTAAAAAATGAGAGCCAGTTTATCTTTGCTACACTGAAATTCCCCCACTACCTGGCTTCCCTGTGTTGAAAAGATATGGTGGTGTTTGTATCAACTGTCCAGGTGAGGTTTTGTAATTTGCTTAAAACAAAACCAAAGCCAGAACACTCACAGCCATCCTAATTTCAACAAAGGAGTCTTCAGAGGGGCCACCTGCGTTCAGCTTGAGCTGCAGTTCGGACACAATGCCAAGCAGATCTGCCTTTTCAGCTTGAAGCCGCACCACCTGGGTCTTTAGCTGTTCCATTTCCTGGTCTGCTTCTGCCTTGGGGACCCTCGGGTCCCCAGTGGGGTCCTGGAAGTGACAAGAAGCAAAGCAAATTAACAAATCGAACCAAGAATCCAGCCGTCACACTCGACTGCTCCACACCCACCGGCAAGGCAGTTTCTCAACGTCTTCATCCCTTATGCTTTACGGTAGAAAATTCTAGTTTTCCCTTGGCAATTTATTTTGACATAACATTTAAAATGAACATTTTTATATTACTTTATTATATTTGAGTAATAGAAAATTAAAATAACTTCATGACAAGAAAGCAAGGCTTCCTCAGCATGCTGGAATAATCTGATATAAAAATAATCAACCAGACTTCGGCAAAGGTAGACTTGTAAGTTGTCCAGAATCTCAGAATATAAGGACAGAAAGCTGCCACAACGCCACCTCTTGCCTCTTTTTTCCTCCCCGAAATGTATACCCACTCCACCCTCCCCATACCCATCATGTCTAGAAGCCAGAGCACAAAGGACATCACTTGGTACAATAATGGCAAAACACAATGAAAGGTCCAGAATTCTCCTAGGTGTATAGTTTGGGTGCTACAATACTCTGTGTTGGTGTTTTAAGGGTGCTAAACATAAGTCTGTTGAGAAATAATCAAATTGAAAATTCAGGGGCTGGTACAAGAGATAAAAAAAAAAAAATTCAGCCTCTATAAACACTAATAATAGACGTTACTATTTCACTAAGGTCAAGGACGTGTTGTGTTCATCCTGTTGCAGTGACCGCATTTGACAAAGTCAGGAGAGAAAGACCCTAGTTAGATGCTTGGTTTTACTTGGGTGCGAGGACAGACTTGAGCCCATGCTCTGCTGAGTGGTGCCTGTGTTGCCTTGAGCAGACACACTTAGCGTCTTCGCCTTAATTTGCTTGAGTTAGAAAGAAAGACATGGTGCCACATGGTCTCTGGTCTCTTCCAGCTGTAACCTTCTCAACCTTTCTGATTTCCTCCTCAGGAAGCTTTCACTGCTCTCGTGGGTACAGCCCCACCAGAAATATATACACTTGAGATTATCAGAGGATGCAACACATTAAAAAATTGGCACACACATACACGTATATCTTCTCTGTGATAAATTTCCTAAGGAATGGTAAACAGGCCCTAAGGCTTACAGTGGAATTAAAAAGTACCCGAAGGGCATGTGTCTGGACCACAACATCTTCGTCTACCAGTTCATCCGTAAAATACTAAAAACTGTAGGACAGGTATCAACTTGCAGCACGGTGGTGTCCCTCACGGCATTGAGATCATGCTCTGCCTTCTTTTGGAGCACTGCCTTTGTGAGGGAAATACCATAGGCCTCAGAGAAAAGCAGCTCCTTGTGAAATGGAAGAGTCAGATCTAGAAGGAAGGGCTGAAAGCCTGTGCAGTCTCTCTTAGCAGTGGCGCATGCCAAGGAAACGTCCATGTAAAATAATGAAAACAGACAAGGAGAGGTCCTGCTGAGCCTGAAGCCGGAAGCAGGCAGAAAGGGCAGAACTGTGCCCATTTGGAATCTTTACATTTACCCACTGGCCTCACCGAGAACATTTTATGGAATGGGTTTTTAAAAACCAACTTGGCATAAAGGTAGGAAATAGAATTTTGTTTTATTTTAAAGAGGTTTAGGAAGGACTCCATTTGATTTTTCTGTCTCCTTGTAAAAGTATGTTCCTGGAAAGAATTTTAAACAAGTGTCTGAGGACCAGGGACACAAGGCCATGACACTAAGATCTCGGACTGTGAGGCTGACTTTCTTTTTCATAGCTGTGAGCATCTCTTAATTATCCTTAGGAAGTTACAAATCTATTTATTTGGCCATAAACACCTTGTAAGATAACACTTTAAATTTCTCTCCATTTTACCACTGAGAGTCTTTTCACTGACTTCCTGGACTAGAACTCCCACAGTTTACCCTCCAGGATCTCAACCCCAGCTCCACTATTTGTTAGGCTGTCATCACTTTTGAGCACTTACCATTGACCTTCGTGCAACACAGCAACTTCTCAGTCTTTCTGTGTATTTGCATGATGTCTCTAGCCTACTGTCCTGACAATGTGCCCAGGTCGATATGCAACTTTATAATCCAAGAAAATAAGTCTTATCTAATGACATCTGCCTAGCAACCTGCAATTAAAAGTTAAAAAGTACTCTGTAGAGACATTGTGATGTATAAGTCAATGAAATCGGACAGAACCATTAATGCCTCAGCTTCACCCTGAGGCTCAAAGGCAGATGTCTAGAGAAATTCTCAAGCCCCTCTGCTTAAGCTGGACAGAACCCTGAAAATCCCTGATGACTTGGGGCGGGAAAGGGGGCAGTCCCTGGGGAAACAGCACCAGAGATGAGCCAGCGTGAGGGAGACAAGTCCAAGGCCTTGAGAGCTTTACTTAGTCAGGATGATGAGGGCCTAAAACTCACCTCAAATGGTCCATGAAATAAAAATAAGGAAGAGGTGGGGAGGCAAGGGGTCAGCCCGGGAGGCACAGTTTACGGGGAGAAGGCCGATGACCAAGGATATTAAAGAGCCATATGTGTCTCTTTGTCCTAAACACCCAAGTCCTTTGTTCCAAGGACTCGTTTCTGAGTCCTGCTTGTAACTCAGTTCAACTGACCATCTGTACTGAAACAAGCTGTTCCAAGCTCCAGCTTCTGTTCTCAACTTCTTCCAATACTGGGACCTGTAGGAAAACCTACAGGCAGACCATTTCAGACAGACAGACTGCTTCTGGAAGCTTCCTTTTCGGCTTCAGTATGATAGGCCCTAGCAGGCTAAAGCCAGCTGTCAGCTCACATCCCAAAAGCCAAAGGAGGAAAACAGTGTGAGATATTTTTCCTCCAGAGAAAAGAAAATGTATATCTCAGGTGACCACTTCTTCACAGTACTGTACCTCAAAAATACTTAGATAATGAGAACGGTCCCCTCCTCCCCCAAAAGTGACTTAATGCTCTTTGAACTACAACACAGTTGAAACGTCAGGTGTGAAAAACCTTATCGATAGTGAAACCTTTCTAATACAAATATAAATGTATTAAAGCTGAATGCTTTCATTGTCCCATGAGCAAGAGCTGATAAGTAGTTCATTGATATAAACTATGATATTTTTCTAAACAACTTTTCGTCCTTTATTCCATATCATCCCCTTTTCATTATTTTCTTTCCATTTATGTCTTTCTTTGTATCCTTCATCCATTCAAGAAATTAGAGATCAACAAAGTTCAAGGTAAAATCTCAAGAAAAATTACTGATGTCTGGGATTACACTCCGCCCACCCAGCGCTCTACCCTCCAAAGAGTCGCTTACTTCTGGCTTTGGAAGAAAATGAATAGCAGACGTCTGTCTAAAAAAACAGTGCCCAGCGAGCTTTCGAGTATGGGCAGGGGCTTCGCATGTGTTCTGATTTGTTTTTCACTAGAGTATTTGACACCCACTCTCGGTTGTGAGCATCTTTCTCAGGTTCTTTGGGTCAATGAAAACATGGTGATCCTATATAATCTTCCCTCACAACATGACATTTGCCAAACCATTCTTCAGACGTAAATTAAAATGTAAAGTGAGGAATCTATCTTAAACTGAGAGGAAGGACAAGGTCAATGAGTAAAAATTCTGAGTAACAGATTTTTTAATGTAATTTTATATCAAAGACATACCCTTGGATGGTTCTAGGTGGAGGTCCTTCTGTACTGTCTATAATCAATACAAAATACTGGCTTAGAATCACAACATTCTTTTGACTGTAATCAATATGGTCAAAGTTTTACACATTTCTTTCTCCCAATGGAAATTATTTATGACTCTTAAAACTGCAACCAATCTTCTCAACAAGAACACTTCTTTCAACATAATGGAAAACGGCTGCCTAGCCTGAATCAAGAAAGGTTTTGATCTAGAAATCTAGACAAATAAGAGTCCACTACAAATAATCATAAAATAAAATCACAACTGATCAGTCTGCTCACCTCAAATGACCTTTCTGTTTTCCCTTTTAGTTTGCCGAGTTCTTCCTTCAGTTTTTCATTTTCATGACTCAAAGCCATTAGGCGCTCTTTGGCTTCTTTGCTCTGGATCTCAAAAAAGAGGCGTTCTTCCTTCTGCTTCTCCGTCCAGGCTGAAAGCTCCTCAAATCGCCCTTTCATAGCTTGGTTATTTAACTTCATGGCTTCTGTATGGGGTTCAGAGTGAGGGTATCACACACCAGGAGACTGGACTGGTTTAATGGATCAGACCGCCCCCAGACCCCTCGACCACGAGGCTGTGACTCATGCTGGGCCAGGCCCGAGGGTCCGCTAGAAAAAGACTACAGCGAGACGAGCGGTTTTCGCTTCCAGGCAGGACTAGCGGCTCTAAAGTTATTTCTAGTCCTCACGAGTTTCAGGAAAATAAACTGATTTGGGTACCTCCACCCAGCGCAGATACCTATGAATAATTCCATGGAGTGATGGGTACTACTCCCAGACTCGTGGCTCTAATGTTATTTCTAGTCCTCACGAGTTTCAGGAAAATAAACTGATTTGGGTACCTCCACCCAGCGCAGATACCTATGAATAATTCCATGGAGTGATGGGTACTACTCCCGGACTCGAAAGCTGGTCCTGCCCAAGGCCACGGCTTGAGACATCAGAATGCTTCCTCTTGATGAGGTAGTACTTTGGACTAACTCTGTAGTAACAGCAGCCTGTCTTTTTTTTCCCCTTTTAAATGGACAAAATGCCATTGTGCCATTTCCTCGAGATATATAAAATACTTTTTATTCTTACCTGTACCCAAAAATAAACCATGGCAACAGTTTTAGCCTTACTAAAAGCTAAACTCTGTGCTCTTTCTGGACCCAGGGAACCAGAGAGAGAGAGTAAGGAGTTCACCTACAAGCCTTGTTACAGGAAGGTCCAGGTGAATGGAGACACGTGGGACCTGGTACTGCTCACCTTTCAGCTGATGGTTCTCAGTCAAGAGCTCTTTCATCTGCTGCAGCAGCTCCTCTGGGGTGAATGTGTCCAGGTTAGGGTGAGCCAGATTGGGGGGTCCATTTCCCGTGCTTTCATTGGGGCTGTCTCCCTTTTCAGTCAGGCAGCTAAGTGGTTGATGGGACATGACAGCAGTTTCTACGGAAAAGTTACACGCTGACAATATAGCTGTCCTCTGCAAGGGGTCCCTGTGAGTCCCCCAAATCCATCAGCAATTGCTAATCAGTTTTCCAAAAGTTGCCTACTTCCTCTCCAATTGTATTTTGAACATTTCTGATTCTTTTAAACGAAAAAAAAAGTATCCTAATTTCAGCATGTGCATGTGTACATCTGTGGACGTGGGTGCCTAAGGGGCACAGTGAGGAGCCGGGAAATGGAGGCGGAAGAGGAGGAACCCTAACACAGTCGTTCAAGAGGAGTCCCACCTATGTTTGCAGACGGGGCAGAGTCTCATTAAGTTGATTTTCCATTGCAAATCTTTAAACTCAAATCTCTATATTTTGGGTGAATTGTATGGTATGCTAATTATATCTCAATGAAACTGTTAATCTCTGTATTTTATTTCTTGTATCTTTTGATAAGAAGGGAGAACTAACATTTTGGATGCTTGCTACACTGAATCACTGCACCAGACACATCGGTTTCTTCACTGAAGAAATTTTCACTGACCCCAACCAGTTATCTGTTTTACAGGTGACAGAGCCAGGTTCACTGAGGTCTTATGGGCCGTCCAAGGTTACTTAACAAGAGGCACGACCAAGTATCAAGGATGATTCCAGACCCAGACCTGTAATACGATAAAGGTATGACTGAATATTTAGCCTTCAATATTCGATAATTTTGTGAAGCACACTAAAAAGACTAGGAAATCTTGCTTAGTTATTGCATATTCTGAGACTTTAAAGCATACCACTTTGTGTAGAATCGTCAAAGTGGAAATAAATAAGAGACAAGTGTATCCCAACCCCACTTCTGTATGGCCTACCCCCTGGGCAAACATAGAAATCTCCTCTCATGACTGGATACATGCTACAGGCAAACATTTTCTTTTTCATACTTCATGGTGATGATAAGCCTTTTCATGAAGAACTGCAGTCAGTCAATCAGTCACTGGGAGATGAGAGAAATACACTTGCTGATAAGTCACTGTATCATAACATCTATGAGTGCTCTCGTAGTGCCCATATAATAAAATGCCACCAAATACACGAGTGCAGGATGGTGCCTCTTCTCAATCCAACTGGAGGTGGCCTCCCTGGAAACCGAGAGGCTGGCGACCTGCCTTTGGTCTGAAGGGACTTGTAGGTAATCAGAGGTGGTGCCACTATTGATGGGACAGCAGGCGCCAACACTGTCGCCTGCGTGACTACTCCTTAGGGCACCTAGCACAAGGAAAGGCATTCTCATGAAATTCGTTAATGAGGATGGCAAGTTCAGGAAGTAAGAAACACTGATAAAGCATAGCATTCAACTGTGAGCCCAGTGAAAGCATGTGTGTTTTACACATCCCAGTTCATTTAGAAAAGAGGAATAATGCTGAAGGGTGTTCTCTCCTAGCATCAGGTGACGAGAGTGGGCTGCTTTTGTCTTCTCCAATGAAATAATCTGAATTGTTTTGCATAAAGTAATTTGGATAAAAATAATGTGAATAAAGCCAGCTTATAGCTTTCCATAAAATTCATTGTTGCACAGAATGATGCTGGTGCTAACGTTTCATAAAAATGGGTTTTTACTTAATAACAGTGATCCCATTTATTTTGCAGAGGAATACTAAAATTCTAGGTAATAGACCTAAAGATAAAATCCTTGTAATCTGTATTATTTACTTGTCCACATTAAATTTCCTCAGGTATTCAATGATTATGCTATACTCGGAAAAAGTAAATGGAAACATTTAACAGATGTTATTTTAAAAAGTGTCTCAGCAAACATCTACAGATGTGTTTGGTTTCATTTTATTATATGCACACATTTCTTCCTAATGGTTTTTCTAAGAGAGGGGAAAGAGAAGAAAAGGGGAGAAGAGAGAGAAGGTGGAGGAGGGGAGGGGAGGGGAGGGGAGAGAAGAAAAGAGCGAGAGCTTTTCCCTTCAAGATTACACAGGTATTTTTCCTCCTTGGCTTTCCTTTATACCCCCACCAAGTGTTTAGACACAAACATAAGAAAGAAAGTTAAACTGGTTCTAGTTGTCACATCAGTGCTTCTCACTTTTTCAGGTTGTCCAGATTTTATAAGGATACAAAAAAAAAAAAAAAAAAGCAAGGTTATGCTAAGGGAGACAGTAGGAAAAACACTGGGTGGCACTACCCAAATGTATGACCTTCAGAAGTCACCTGGCATCTTGTGATGGTGTATCGACCTGTCTGGCAAATGACAACCATTATGGTTGCTCACTCAAAGTGTTCTTAAGCTTCTAGCAAGTTCACAGTCCGACCCACACTGTTCAACACATACACCCTAGCACCCTCATGGCCATGCCCCCCTTCTCACAAATAAGGCACATACCTGTCCTCATTATAGTAAATTCTTTGTTATCCAGCTTTGTTAGAAAAACTTATTTGGATATGCAAATGTCATAGTAAATAAAAAGTAAGTATATATTATGCCATTAATAAGCATGTAAATACCAAAATTATAAGCACGTAAATTATTACCAAAATTTTACTAAAAGCAATTGAATTGATTTTTGGTGACTCATAGAGCACTTCTGGATTTTAGAATATTTGGGGGGCATCATTATGAGTTATCACAATACAGTGCAAGTGTGAAATGTCTATTTGTAGAATGCCAGTTACAGGAAGCTGAATTCTGTTTTTAACATCACCTTGAGCTACTTTTAATTAAGCAAACACAGAGATGCGTTATAAATCCTTGCACACACCTTCAAAGGTTATGGAAATTGGAACTAAACCATTTATTCCAAGGTTCTGTCTAATAACAGAATTTCTCATAAAAGCCCAACTAATCTGGATCTGAAATGTGTCATTGTAAGCGAAGGTGATATTTAACTACAGAAGGGCAAATTGATTTAGCACAGGATTTGTCCAGATTTTACCAATGAAGAAGAATGAGAACTACTTGGAAGGTAAAAAATCAAAAGTAAACTCTCCTAGATTTATTCCCAGATCTGCTATTTGAATTCGATTATATGTTTTATCGTTCTTAATTCCAGAGGTCAAGTAATTATAGCAATGACTTGACTTTGTAGGCATGACCTTAAATCTCATTCCTGAGTTGGCCTTAAAAAGGATTCAGTCCGATCCCTCATTTGCTGCAAGAATGTCTTGTCCAGTTTCCACAGCAGATGGTCATATAGACCAGGCTTGAATGACTTCAATGACAGACAGTCTGCTCAATGACTTTAGCAGGCAACTGCCCATTCTATTACAGGGTGGCTCTGACTGCCAGAAAGTCATTTTGTATTGAACTTTAATCCGCCTTGTACTGAATTCCACCCACTGGACATTGGACCAGTGGCATAATACAGAATAAGCTTAGGCCACTGCCTTGGTGTGGCTGATTCTCCAGATCTGTTGATTAAGTATTCAAGGTTCAATCCGCATGTGGATAAGTCAGTTTTGAACAGTGAAAACCTATTTGTTGATCAGAGACAGTGCTGGCTATTGGCAAATTCTGGTTTGGGTTCACAAGGAAGCTAAGGTTCTAAGATTCCATCAACTAAACCTATCACTATCCTGGAAAAAGAACTCAAAACATGTATCTTACTAAGAGGGTAAAAAACAAAACAAAACAAAACAAAAAGAACCTCACCTTTTATGCCAGAAATGGTATTCTGATTTCATAATTTGCTAACATACAGAAAGTAGATTAGATTTCACCTCATCACTCCAGGCAGGAACCTGGGAGTTATGCCTGATTCTTCCCATTCCCTCTTCCCCCAAGTCTAATGGGTCACCAAATGCTGTCATTTCCACCTCCTCTCCATCCTCACCAGCATAGGTCAGGCCCTTCTTGTCTTGTCTGAACTATAGCAGTGTTGCACTCCACAGAGTACAGGATTCTGGCCTACTTTGTCCACAGCACCAGGATATTACCTGACATATATGAGGGTTCAACAAATACTTGCTGAATGAAATTTCACAGCCTCCTACATGATCTCTTATCAATTTCCATCACAGTCCCACTGCCTGCATGGTTTCTTTCCCAGTACGAGCTCATCCACCTGCTTAAAACCCTTCCCATACAAGGCAGAGTTCCAGCGCCTGAGTGAGACAAACATAGCCTTTCAGGGTCTGGACCCTACTTACCCACTGGTATCACCTGTCGCCATGCCACTTATACTCAGGGCACATTACAGAGCTCACTATTCCCTGTAGTCTTTTGCTTCTGTGCCCTTGTATGTGTGTTCTGCCCTGTGCTTGAAATGAATGGCCTCTTTTTGCCCTGGCAAACACCCACAATGTCCATCCAGCTCAAATAGATGTCCTATTCTTTCCTCGGTGAAACAAATAGCACTTGATGTGTTCCACCTCCTTGGCCCTTTTCTGCAAAGTACTGTAATCATTCCATGCCGGTCCATCTCCCCATCAAACTTAAGCCAAGGTCTCTATCTTATTCTTCCTAGAGACTGGCACACAGCAGCCTCTCAGTAAATGTTGAAATGAAATGAAAATATAGTTTAAGAAGCTATTTTAAAGTCTAACACTAGTAAAACACTTCCCGCTGTGTAGGTGATAAACCCGGCATGCTAATATTTTGAGTTTTTCTACAGTTCCATGGCACTCACTTCGATTCTTAAACACAACTTTTAAAACTTATTTTGAAGATTAGTACTGTTTTTTATATCACTACAAAGGCATCTGGATATTATTTCATAACACATATTCTGTTATTTAATCCTTATACACATGTCGAAGTGAAAACAATAAAAATTTAATTTTTTTCTTTCTGAAATAGATTTTACTTTCAAAAAACAAAGTTTAAGTTTTTTCCTTTTTCCTTTGGATTTACTATTCCATAAAGTCCAAAGAACATATCAAGCAGTCTAAGTCTTTATAAAATTCACGAAAAGCAGGGCTCAGAGAAGAGAGTACCCATGTACCTCTACTTAAGGGAGGAGGTTCCATGGTAAAGTAATAAATATAGTAACCACTTCCTTTCAAGAATAAAGTTTATTTTTGTTTTTTGGAGGGTTTAGTAGGAATCCGTAGCATAAGATGCAACCTGAGGTCAATTACAAAAAAAAAGATATGACTTTTATAACGTTGTCCACAGTATATGAAGAACGACTAAAACTGGCCCAGTAGAAAACAGATCATTTGTCCCAAAGGCTCTAATTATTGTCCTCTCTCTACAGGCTATGTTTAAACTTCACTTGCCTAGTCCATTCCAGGGCAGTCCCCGCCTTGGTGGCTGCTCAGGAACTCTCCAGCCCACCACAAACTGGGCAAAGCACAATGGGGGTGGGGGTGGGGGGTTCTTCTGTTAATAGTGCCACTTGCTTAACCAGATCTGAGGTTTTGATGTCCTAACACCACCTTACTGTACTACGGCTTTGGTTTTCCATTTCATCCTGTGGCATACAGCCCTGTGACATACATTTCCACATCACAGTTTTCCTGGTAGAGGAGGCAGACCAGAACCCCTTTTTCCTTTTCTCTCAGGGATGTTTACTGCTTTCGGTTGATCAGTCTCCGAGAGTAAAAACAATTCCTCAGCCTCATCAAATATTTATATTATCTCTCTCTCTATATGGATGGATGGATGTATACATGCATATGTATGTACGCATTTATGTGTATGTATGTATGTATGCATATATCCTCACACACATGCATACACACGTTTTAGACATAACTGTTTATGAAGATTCCTTTCAGCCGTTCAGTATCGCACCACCTTAGAGAGGTCACTTGTTTCTTAGGGTTCCTGGGCTCATAAAAGCTAGTTTTTAGTTCTTAAAGTCTTCCAAAGGTGTACCCTTATCCACTTCCCTTATAATAAGGAACTAGATGTATAATCATTCCCAACCTGCGGGAGCGTGTCACCTTAAACCACCTTGGTGACCTACAGAGGAAGTCACCTGCGGCCGGCCAGGCCAGTAAAAAAGGGGGAAGGGCGCTTTGGGCGGCCACCCCCGCTGCCTTTTCACACCAGGTCAGGATCGGCGAGGACTCGTAAACCCTTCCATCGGAGAGGACTCCCTACCCCTCGACACCCACACCCCTAGTGACTCAGGGTCGCAGGGACGGGGCCTGCGGGAACAGCTTCCAGGGCAGAAAAGGAGCCGCCGCCTCGCCCAGCCCCTGCCCGGCCCCTGCCCAGCCCCTGCCCCGGCTCACCTGGCGCCCGCGCTCCCGCCTCTCTCCGGGTCACTGCTTCCTCGGCATCGTGCCCGCTGGGGGAGGCCTCCGGACCCGGATGCAGATGTCGCTCGCAGACCGGCCGGAGGGCGGCGGCGGGGACTCGGGAAGCCTCAGGCTGACGTGCTGCCTCGCGACCCCGCCCAGCGGCGCTCAGCTGACTGCCGCGCGGGCCTCCCCGCCTCCGCGGGGAATTTCCTGGGCCCCGCCCCTTGCCAGGCCCCGCCCCAAGCGTCCCTTTCCTCTTCGCCTGCCGGGGCTCGGGCAGGAGCCAGGCAAAGACGCGGGGCCATGCGGATTGCACCAAGATGTCAGTGTGACCGACGGCGTTAATCAAAATAAATTTCGAATTAAACCAAATGTGTGGAGTCGGCTTTCCCCGCTCAGCTTCCTGTAGAAGACCAGATCCACAAGGGGTCGCTGCGCCCCATGGAAAGAGCAGGACGGTCCCAGGCATCCCTGGAATCAGGCTTCGATCTCAGTTAAAAGCCTTACATACGGATATAGTTAACTGAGCATGCATGGCTTTCCACCCGATTTTGGCCTTAAAATAGACCTTTAAAAACAAAAAGCCTGCGGGATGCTTCTTTGGCTCTTGCTACCTGGGAACAGGCCAACCATTGAGACCTAGATGCCTCACCAGGGGGTTTAAGAGATTGACCTGGATTGTACCTGGAAAGCAGGAGTATTGCTTTACTGGACCAGAAGAAGGAAGATGCCCCCGGATTAGACAGAATTAAAAGGGAGGAAACAAGACCAGAAAGGGGGGGAGGAGAAGCGCCCTAGTTTGCATCCCAAGCACCCTAATAAGGAATGAGCAAGGACGCCCACACCCGACACAAAAGGCATCTGATCGCAAGGTCAAGGTTCGGTCAAGGCTGTGCAGCTGGTACACCCCGCCGAGAAGAAAGCAGAAATCAGGACGGGGCTGCAGGTGGTCTGGAAGAGAGTCTGGGAGCAGGGTTGTGCTGAAGACGAGGGAGGATATTATACGGGGAAGAGCTGGATTTAAGAATGAAGGCGTTGACATCGCCGAAATCAGTGGGAATAAGCAGCACGTGGTTGCTCATCCAGGCTGCTCATTGGTGGGAAGGAAATGGGAGCGGGGAATCCCAATACAAGTGGGAAGAGAGTGGGGTGCTCTGTTTCCTGGCATCCCGGAAGGGTTCGTCTCAGCTTCGCTGTCTAGACCTCCTGTTCCAGGCCGCTCCCCCTGCCTGGTCCTTCACACCATCCTGAAGTTAGCCCCTGGAACAGAGCAGGGACAGCTGCCAGTCAGTAACTGCCCCATGACCCAATTCCAGAGGGTCCCTCCTGGGTCTGTTAGGGGTACCTGGGGTGAGTCACACTCCACTGGGCTTCCTTCTATTTTAAACCCTGTTAATGTGAGATAAACTGAGTGGCAGAGAAGCTGGAGTGCGGGCGGGGTGGATGGAGGTCATACAGGGGCTGCCCAGCTGCAGTGGGGAAGGTGGGGGGTGAGTTTCTGCTAGAGAAGGTGGTCAAGGGAGTTTTCTCCTGACCCACTTGCTCCCAGCGGGGGGTGGGGGGCTCTAAAGCACTGAGCACCCCTGCGCTTCTAAGCTGAGCAACCTCGGACAAATTATCTATTCGTTCTGTGCCTTATTCTCTTATCTATAAAATGGGGGCTATAATACAGGTCCAAAATCCCCAAAGTCTCAATAACCAAAGCCTTTCTTATTTCATTTGGAGGCAAAATCTGAGCTAAACTCTGTAAAGCCTTTTACAGTCTTTATTTAGACCATTTGCAATTCCTTATTTGTTTTGTTGATGGCACATTAATTATTTTGTATGAGAGCTGCCTCAGATCCTTTTGGGGAGCTCTGTTATATGAATTACATGCATGTATCACCTTGCTAAAATCCAAAAAATTCTGAATTCTGAATCAGAGTTTGCGCCAAAGGCTTCAAGTCTATAGTACCAACTGCCTAAAGTCATGGTGAGGATTAAAAGAATAATACGTGTAAAACACTCAGAACAATGCCTGGAGCATGGTGTTGTATTGTTATAGCTACTGTAGAGCCAGCTGTTTCTCAGCCTGAATAGTCCAGGTGGTGCCTCCTTCCACTCACACTTCCGAGCAGGTAGACTCTACGTGCCCCTAAGAAAACCGAAATCGTTACACACTTTTAGTTGTTCACTGATGTAGTTTTGTGGTAGGGTATTTAGTGAGATATTCATTTGTTTATGTAAATGAGCTCTGTGCTCCGCCTAGACCCGTCCGTCTGAAGAAGGCAGCTAATCCTTTTGTGTTTCTTACCTCAAGGGCATTAGCAGGATTCTTGGAGGACCAACCTCTCTTCTAGTCTTTTGAAAAGACCCTTTCTCACTAAATACCTTGTCTATCCCAGGTGTCCTGGGGGAGCAGGGAGTTAGGCGGGATGGGGCAGGGGGCCTTTCACCGCAGTTAGAAGGAAGAATGACTCCCCCCAGAGTGGAGGGGTTAGGGAATGGTGGTCTCCTGAGCATCTAGGACTCAAACCTCAGCCCCTGCAGCACGAGGACACATCGCAAGTACATGTATCACACAGCTATGTGATGCATCTCCTGCACCTTGGGAACCTGGTTCCACAGCTTGGGCAGATCCTAGAGTCCACGCTTGTCATTGGAAATATTGCCTTCTCTGTAGAAGGACCTGTATGTTGGACAATGAGGGTATCAGCATCCAGGTTAATAGGCTAAAGAATAAATGGGCAATTCCAATGGTACCAGAGGCCCTTCTGGATTTTTGCGTGGCCCTAGAGAAGGATA